AGGACTCATGGCGTCGGAGCTCGAGGCGCTGCGCCGGCGCGTGGCCCAGCTCGAGGAGGAGAACGCGACGCTCAAGAGCCGCGGCGCCGTCGACGTGTCCGCGTCCATCGACGCGCTGCAGCGCGTCTTCCAGCAGCGCCTCGAGTCGAGCTCCGCGTTCCTCACGCCGCTGGTGCTCCCCGACGTCAAGAAGCGCCAGTTCTTCGCCGTCGCGTGCTTGTTCTTCGCGTACCCGCTCTCTCTGGCCGCGTCGGGTTACGCGGTCTACGCGGTCCTGGCGGCCCGGTCGCGCGCGGGCGCGGCGGCGATGATCCTCTACGCCACCTGGGTCGCCCGCGACGACGCGCCGCGGCGCTGCGGCCGGAGGATCCGCGCGCTGCAGCTGTCGCGGTTCTCGAGCTGGCTCGGCGGCTACTTCCCCATCAAAATCCGCAAGGCCAGCGCCGACGCGGACTTCGACGATCGATCGGTCTACCTCTTTGGGTATCATCCGCACGGCATCATCTCCGTGGGCTGCTTCACGCAGTTCGCGTTCGACGGCTCCGGCGCGTCGAAGCTCTTCCCGAAGCTCCGCTTCCACTGCGCGACTTTGGGCTTCAACTTCCGCATCCCCTTCTTCCGGGAGCTGCTCCTGGGCCTCGGCATCATAGAGGTGTCGGCGAAATCCATCAAAAACGCGCTCTCGTCGGGGCCCGGCGCGGCCGTCGTCATCGTGCCCGGCGGCGCGGCGGAGAGCCTCGACGCGTCGCCGGGCGGCGAGCACGTGCTCACGCTGCGGAAGCGCAACGGCTTCTTCCGCATCGCGCTGCAGCACGGCGCGAAGCTCGTGCCCGTGTTCTCCTTCGGGGAGAACGACCTCTACGGCGTCGTGAGCCCGACGGGGCCCGTGCGGCGGCTCCAGGCGGCGGCGCTGCGGCTCTTCGGCTACGCCGTGCCCGTCTACCTGGGAGCGGGCTCGAACTCGGCGACGTTCGGCAGCCCCATGCCCATGCGGCGGCCCATCATCACCGTCGTCGGCGACCCGATCGCCTGCCCGCGCATCCCGGAGCCGACGCAGGAGCAGATCGACGACCTGAAGGTCCAGTACATCGAGCGGCTCCGCCTCGTCTTCGACAAGTTCGCCCAGGACCAGCAGGTCCTCACCATCGACAAGTAATCTTTTAGGCCTCGAGCATCTCCGCGACGAGGTCCGCGGCGCCGTCGTAGGTTCCGACGAGCCAGAGGATCATGCGGACGTCGACGCCGATGGAGCGCGAGTAGCGCGGGTCGTACTTGTACTCGTTGACGAGGCCCGGGCGCTGGCGGTCGAAGTTGATGGCGACGAAGCGGCCCGCCGCGTCGAGCACGGGCGACCCGCTGTTGCCGCCGAGCGTGTCCGTCGAGTAGAGCACGTTCGCCGGCGTGTCCCGCGCGCCGCCGCGCGCGAGGTCCAGGAAGCGCGCCGGCGGCGCGAAGTCGCGCGCTCGCGCGTCGCCGGCCTCGTAGCGCGACACCGCGTCGTCCGCCTTGTCGACGAGCCCGCCGAGCGTCGTCCGCGGCGCGTGGACGACGGCGTCGCAGGGACTGTAGCCCTCGACGAAGCCCGCGGAGAGGCGCAGCGACCCGTTGCAGTCCGGGTAGGCCGGCTCGCCCGCGTCCAGGCCGCGCTGGAGGTCCAGGAGCTCCGCGCAGAGCCGGTCGCGGCGGCCGACGAGCGCGCGCGTCTCGTCGCGGTCCGCGAGGAAGGGCGGGTAGCAGGACTCGATGACGCCCATGAAGACGTCGGACTGGACCTCCCAGGCCATGTCTTTGGGCGCCGCGAGCATCGCGCGGAGCTCGTCCTTGCCGAGCTTTCTTAACCTGGACTTGTCGACGAGCGACCGCGCGGCCTCCAACGTCTCGCAGCCGCCGGGTGTCATGCCGTGGACCATGTTCAGGTGCATGGGCAGGGTCAGCGCCGCCTCGACGGCGCCCTCGTCGACGGGGTCGACGGGCACCGTCGGCAGGCCCACGACGTCGCGGCGCACGTCGCGGCGATCCGCGTTGAAGGCCAGGTCCAGGTTCGGCGCCCGCGGCGCCGGGTAGAGCGCGGCCCAGTTCGACCCCGTCAGGGCATCCAACACGAGCGCCGCCTCGAGGGGCGCGTGGACGTCGTCGAGGCGCTTCGCGAGGCGCGCCGCCGTGAAGTCGAGATTCCGCTCCCGGAGGTAGGCCTCGCGCGCGTCGTCGGGCTTCGCCGACTCGATGGCCGCGTCGTAGAGCGCCGACGCCGCCGCGAGGAGGGCGCTGCCGTGGTAGACGCCCGTCAGCTTCTCCAGCGCGTCGCGGCGGCCCGCCGTCGCCTCGAGGCGCGCGTAGACGCGCGCGAGCTCGTCGAGCAGCGGCCGCGCGGCCGGCGCGGCGGCGACGAGCGCCTGCTCCTCGGCCTCGCGCTCGGCGACGAGGCCCACGCGCCGGAGCATGGCCCGCTTGCCCGACGACCTTTTCAACTCGTTCGCGAGCGACTTCCTCGCGGCGGCGATCTTCAGCCGGCAGCCGCCGCCGGCCGCCGGCGGCGCCGGCGCCGGCGGCGCCTTCTTCGGGTAGGTCGGCTTGCCCCGCGTCTTGGCCGTGACGCCGAGGTCGACCATCTTGGGCACCGCGCGGCGGGGCTCGGCCGCCGCGTACGACGCGATCCTCGGCGCGGCGGCCGCGGGCGCCGGCGGCGGCGCGCGGCCCTCGTCCTCGTCGAGGGCCCGCTCCATGAGGTCGAGCTTGCGCCGGAAGTCGCGGCAGAGCGACGGCACGGCGACGGCCTCCGCGTACCTGAGCCGCGACGCGGGCGCGTAGCGCGTCGTCCGCCCGGGAAACCCGAGGAGGAAGACGAAGTCGCCGGCGTCGGCGCCGCCGGGCGCCGTCCGCAGGTGGGCCGACGGCGCGTAGGGGCGGCCGTCGGCGCCGTAGGCGCGCAGCAAAGCGAAGTCCGCGGTGTGCCGGGGCCACTCGAAGTTGTCGACGTCGCCGCCGAAGTTGCCCAGCGACCGCGGCGGCACGTAGACGAGGCGCACGTCGCTCAGGCGCTCGTAGACGAAGAGCGTGTAGGTGCGCTCGGGCCACGTCGCCTTGACCTCGCAGCGCGCGCCGCCGGCCTCGCCCGCCTCGCGGTCCTTCGCCGTTTTCAGAGCCGCGTCGCGGAACGCGAGCGCGCGCTTGAGCGGGTCCGCCTCCGCGCCCGCGGCGTCGACGACGGCGGCGCTCACGTCCTCGCAGCGCCGCGTGATCCAGCACTCGTAGCTCTCCGTCGCGACCTCGTCCGCGCGGCTTTTGGCCACGAAGCCGTCCTCGAGGTAGTCGACGCCCGCGCGCCGGCTCGCGGACCGCACGGCGTCGAGGGCGACGTGGTGGTTCGTCACGATGAGGCCGCTCTTGCTGATGAAGGAGCCCGTGCCGCCGCGGCCGCTCGCGCCGACGGACACGAGCGCGTTCGAGAGAGCCGACGCGTCGGCGTCGGGGCCCGTGCCGTCGATGGCCGCCGCCGGCAGCTCGAGGCCCAGCGCGGCGAGCTCGCCGTGCAGGGCCGCCGTCTCGCCGATGGGCCACGTGCGGAAGCGGCTGCCCATGGCGCTCGCGATCTTGCTCGCGGCCATGCTCTCTCTTGTGGGTTTTTTATCAGCGAGTGCAACACCCGATTCAACAACGAGTGATGCCTGGAGAAACGATGATGTGCCTCTCTAAAGCGTGACATAAGGCTGCCCGCCCGCGCCCCTGCGCCCCGCCTCTCCACGACCATGGCGCCGCGAAAGGCGAAAGCCGCAGCCTTGGCGGTCGCACGAGAGCGCATCGATGGAGCGGCCACGGCGCCGAGAATCGCGCAAGTCGCCGCGCTGGCAAAGACGTCGTCGAGGCGCGCCAAAAAGCAGCCCGAGGAGGAGCCCAAGGAGAACAAGTTGACGGGCATGCTCAAGGAGCTCAAGGAAATCGAGGAGGCCATCCACGACCAGGAGGTCGAGATCGCCAAGTACGAGAAGGACCTGCAGAAGGTCATCGACACGCCGGCGGCGGACCTCGGCGCGACGGACGAGGGCAAGGACATGCTCCTCCACATGCGGTGCTGGTTCGACCTCGTTTTACAGAGGCGGCGCGAGCACCTCGTGCAGAAGCACCACTACCTGACGATCTCGGCCATGACGGGCGACCAGGAGTCCGGGTCGCCGCGGCGCAACGCGCGCCAGATCGCCGTGCGCGCCGTCTGGGACCGATGGCGGCTCTGGGTCGAGTGCCGCGTCGCGCGGCGGACGGACCCGGCGGCCGGCAACCGGCTCCGCGCGCTCAACGCCATCTACGAGACGACGGCGACGGAGCTCGGGGCGCATTCCTTCAAGCACCGGCCGACGCAGCACAGCTTCGTGCGGCCCGCGCCCAAGTTCGACGACAACGCGTCGCAATTGACCGTGGGGTCCATGCGGTCGTCGTTCACGTACGCGTCGGGCGCGACGCCGGGCCGAACTCAAATCTTCAACCCGACTTCAACGTGAGCGTATTGGACAGTTTCTTTTTGCTGGACGGGGCGTTCCACTGGTTGATTTCCACACAGGCGCGACGTGGATCACGGGCAACTCGTCGCTGGCGTCCGGCGCGTCCCGCAAGTCCGCCGTGCGGCGCTGGGTGCCCGCGAGCCCGCCGCGCGGCGCGCGCGCGCCGCCGCCCGCGCGCAAGACTCCGCGGCGGCGGAAGCACGCGAAGCCGGCGCCGGCCGTCGACGCGCTTCCGCAGCTCAGCGAGGCGGAGCTGATCCAGCGCGCGGAGCGCAAGATGTCGACGCTCCGGGGCGCCATGCGCATCTCCCGCAAGCTCCGGCGGCCGGGGACGTCGTCCTCGCAGCGGCCCGGCGGCCTGCTGCCCACGCGGCCCGCGACGACCGCGCCGAGCTCCCGCGCGCGGCACTGGCCCCGGGGCCGCGCGTCGCCGTCGTCGGCGCCCGCGGGGCTGTCGCCGCTAATGTAGTGTGGGTGTTACCCGCCGCGGCGCCGCGACCGCGCGACGGACTGGCCGTCGCCGTCGTCGGCCTTCTTCTCCTCGTCGGGCTCCGCGCGGCGGTCGTCGGCGCGCGCGTGCTCGACGCCGTCGTCGTCGTCGTCGGACGTGTCGCCGAGGTCCTCGGAGTCCGAGTCCGAGTCCGAGTCCGGCGCTTCGACTTTCCACGCCGCGGACCGCGACGTCATCGTGCCCGGCAGGAGGCACGTCCAGTCCGCGGCCTTCTTCCGCGTGTCCAGGCTCCAGAAGTCGTCGAGGGCGAGCTCGCGGTCGCCGACCTCGAGCGCGCCCGCGGCGACGTAGAGGACCTTGTTGACGATCGCGGCGCACGCGCCGATGCGCGGCGGCGGCGCCGTCGGCCGCGGCGCCGCCGGCTTCGGCGGCGCGGCGGCGTCGGCGGCCTTGTGGCGCGGCGGCGCCGGCGGCGGCACGGCGAGGGCCGACGCGAGCGCGGCGACGTCCCAGGGCGCGGCCGGAGGCGGCGCGTCGGCCTCGCGCTCCGAGGCCTCGCGGCGCTTCCACTTGCGCTTGCCGAGGTCCAAGACGTGCAGATCGTCGTAGAAGAGCGACGTCGACGAGAGCCCGTCGCCGTCGACGTCGTGGACGCCGCCGAAGACGTGGGCCTGGTCGAGGCGCGCGGCCGACGCCGCGCCGCAGCGCTTGTCCGGCGTCGCGCCCTTGAGAGGCACGCGCTCCCACGAGCTCTCGGGCGTCGCGTCTCCCGCGAAGGGGTCGCCGATGGTCAGCTTCCAGCAGTCGCCGTGCTCCTTGCCCTGGGCCTTGACGGCGTTGTCGCACTTGATCTCGCTGTAGCCGCCCCAGATCGTCGCGTGGTCCTCGGTGGACGCGAAGAGCACGCCGCCGGATCGCACGGGCGGCTTCGCGACGCCGGGCCGCTTCGAGAACTTGAGCTCGCGCCACTCGTTGTCCGAGGGGCTGTAGAGCCAGGCGTCGTTCATGAACGTCGCCTCGACCTCCGACGACGCCTTGAAGAAGCCGCCGAAGAGCAGGATCTTCCCGCGCCACTCGCAGCAGCGGTGGCCGCTCCGCGCGGACGGGCCCTTCTTCTTCGCCGGCTCGACGAGCTCCCAGGCGTGGGTGCGCGTGTCGAGGCGCCAGAGGTCGCGGTAGTGGTAGAACTGCGTGAGCGTCGCGTACTCGCCGCCGAAGACGTAGACGTGCTTCCCCAGCGCGACGGCCTGGTGCGCGCAGCGCGGCGACGGCGCGTTCAGCGACGCGACGGCGTACCACTCGTCCTTCGCCGTGCGGTAGCGGTAGAGGTCGTTGAAGACCGTCGTCTGGTCGCCCTCGTTGAGCTCGCCGCCGAACAAGTAGAGGTCGTCGCCGACGGCCGCGAGCGACGCGTTGCACCGCGGCGGGAACGGCGCGAAGGCGCCGTCGGTCGGCGGTTCGAGCTTCGCGACCGTGACCTCCGTGCGCGCGGCGTCCTTGAGGCGCTGCGCGGCGATGAGCGCCAGCAGGTCCACCTCCTCGTCGGGGCCGGCGAGCTTGCCCTCGCGCTTCGCGGCGCAGCGCTCCTGCTTCGCCGCCTTGCGCTGCTTCTTGGCGAGCTCCTTCGCGGGATCCTTCTTCTTCTTGCCGCCGCCCATCGTTTGCTGGGAGTCGTGCCCGCTAAAATCTCTCGCCCATACGAAGTGCTCCTCGAGCTCGACAGCTCCACGACTGGTTGAAGCGATGTTGCCTTTTGCGCGCGACGGCTGCGGCTAGAACTAATCGACGCAGCCGCTGGCAAAGCAGACGCAACGCTCTCTCTCGCACTCTCCGAAGCTCGACTCCTTCGTTTAAGCCGCGCGCGTCCCGGACCCCGCGCCGCCGCGGCCGCGCGAGCTCAGGACGCGCCGCCGACGTAGGCCTCGTCCAGCGGCCCGGCGTCGCCCGCGGCGATGTTCTGGCCGTCGGCGCCGAAGAGCGCGCCGTAGGTGTCGAGGAGGAGGCCGTAGTTGTTCGATCGGAGCTTCGTGTCGCGCGCGTACGTCGACGTGACCTGCATGCCCGGCTTGAGCGCGTGGTCCTCGGCCGTCCAGGCGAGGAAGGTCTTGGCCGCGTCGGCGCAGAGCGCCGCGGCCGTCGCGACGCTGTCGGCGCCCGCGGGCAGCGACACGTCGACGGCGACGGGCGACCGCATGAGCGCTTCCGTCTCGCTCGCGGGCGCGGGCTTCGGCGCGCCGGCGACGCCCGCGCGCCAGTCCCGGAGCCCGCCGTAGAAGCGCTTCTCCAGGTCGTCGCGCTTGCCCCGGGCCATGAACGCGTCGCGGCTGTCCGGTTCCGGGAACGACCCGTCCGGCAGCGCGGTCTCGTAGCCCACGGCCGCGCGCGGGCGGAAGTCGACGTACACATCCACGGCGTCCGCCGTGACCGTCGTCCGCGCGACGAGGTGCGGCACGTCCTTGAGCGGGCCGCACCACACGGTAAGCGAGCTCACGGTGACGTCGCCGCCGGCGACGCGGAGGTCCGACGCCCACGCGACGTTGTCGTCGCCGGGCGCCTCGTAGGACTTCAGCGTGCCGCCGCCGCCCGTGGCGGGGGCGAAGCTCGCCAGGCCGAGGCTCGCGGGGTAGTCCTTCTCCATCAGGTTGAGGGCCGACTTGATGCTCGACATCGACGCCTCCTGCGACGCGAAGAGCGTCTCCGCGGCGTCGGCGGGCGCGGCGGCGACGCGCGTGAGCGGCGCGCGCGCCCGCGGCGCGACGAAGGCGGAGGCCGTCGCGAGGAGCGTGAGCGCGGTAGCCATCGATGAGCGCGATCCTCCAGCCATCGATGCGGCGTCAGCGGCAGCCTGGGTGCAACGTTGTGTGCAAACATCTTCGTTGAGGCCTTCCGGATGGTGCGCATGGGCTGCCTCGTGCCCGCCATGATCGCTTTCGCGCTGCCAGTCGCGAGCACGCCCGTCAACGGCAACATGCGGTCCTTCGGCACGGCCATCAAGGAGTCGCCCATCGCCGCCGGCGAAGAGAAGACCGCCTTCGAGCACACGCTCCCCTCCGGCGCGACCCACGGCGCCATCACGCAGCAATGGCACGGCGGTTTCGGCAATTTCAACCTCCGCGTTCGGATCTACGTCGACGGCGAAACCACCGCGAGCGTCGACTACGACGTCGGCATGGCGCACGGCGCGGGCCCGAACCAGACGCACGTCCGCGGCCGCGACGACCCGGCCGGGGAGCCGCCCTGGGCCGCGGGCGAGTCCTTCGGCCGCACGCACGACAGCGGGTTCTGGAACACGTACCTGGTCCCCTTCGCGAGGAGCGTCCGCGTGACCGTGACGAACCCGACGGCGGTTCACTTCTGGTACATGGTCCGCGGCGTGGAGCAGGCGCCGCTCGTCCTGTCCGGGCTCGAGCTCCCGCCCTCGGCGCGGCTCCGGCTGCAACGGACGACGGCGACGGTCCGGGCGAACTCCGTCGTCGCGCTCGCGAACGTCTCCGGGACCGGCGGCCTGCTCCGGCAGCTGACGCTCGTCGCCAATTCGTCGGACTACCTCTTCCAGGAGGGCTGCATGTCCGCGCGCGTCGACGGCGCGGGCCTCTGGCTGTCGTCGGGGTTGGAGGACTACTTCCTCGCGGCCTATTTCGGCGGCATGGCGCCGATGCACCAGCCCTTCGGCGGCTTCGACCTCGGCGCCGTCGACGAGCCGAGCCCCAGCGGCGACCCCAACACCGTCGCGGCATACAGGATCCACGAGAAGGACCCCATCCTCTTCACGGAGTCCTTCGAGCTTTATTGGATCGCGTCCTCGGACGCGCCGCTCCACAAGGGCACGAGCGCCTGGTGCAACGGCGACTGGCCCGCGAAGGACGTCCCCACGACGCCGTCGACGCCCGACAAGGCCGGCCACGTCTCCGTCGACGCCATCGCCTGGCTCTACGTGTGGTGAGCGGGGGCGGCGCGCGGTGGCGTAAAACCCCCGGCGCTCGCCGATGCCTCGCGCCCGAGCGCCGAGCTCGCGAGCTTGAGCACCACCAAGTGCTTGCACCGCGCCGCCACCACCACCAACCACGTCGCATCGGCACGATGGGCCGCTCGTCGTCGAGCAGCAGCAGCGACGGCAGCCTGAGCAGCGGCGCCCGGGAGCGCAAGGAGAAGAAGGCGAAGAAGAAGGCGCTCAAGAAGGCCCTGAAAAAGGAGAAGAAGGCGGCGAAGAAGGCCAAGAAGGCGTCGAAGAAGGAGAAGAAGTCGAAGAAGCGCGCGCGCGCCGACAGCTCGAGCGGCGACGACGAGCCCGAGAAGCGCGCGCGCGTCGACAGCGGCGCGGGCGCCGGCGACGCCGCTCTAGCCGACCTCCTCGAGGAGGACATGGGCCGCCGCGACTCGCTGGACCTCGGCCGGCCGGCGAGCCCGCCGCCGGCCGCCGCGGCGCCGCCGCCGCGGCCCGCGGCCTACGACGACGACCCCGCCGACGCGGTCTACGTGCCCGACCGCGGCGCGCCGCCGCCGCCGCGCGACGGCCACGACCGCGGCGGCTACGTCGACCGCGACGAGCCCTACGCGCGCGCGCCCGACGAGCCCGGCGCGGAGGACTTCGCCGACGAGGCCGCGGCGGCGGCCGCGGAGGCGCTCGTCGCCGAGCGGGTCAAGGCGCGGTCGGACCGCGACTACGGCCGCGCGGACGACTTGCGCGACGAGCTGCGCCGCGTCCACCAGGTCTACGTGAGCGACAAGGACCGGACCTGGCGCCGCGAGCGCGGCCGCGACGGCGGGCCCCGGGACCGGGGCCGGGCGACGCTGCCGCCGTACGAGCGCGGCGACGACGAGCCCGGCGCGCCGGCCTTCGAGAGCGACGACGCGCTTCAAGCCGCCGAGGCGCTCGTCGCGGAGCGCGCCAAGTGCCGCAGCGACCGCGAGTACCGGCGCGCCGACGAGCTCCGCGACGAGCTGCGGCGCGTCCACAAGGTGCACGTCGTCGACAAGGACCGGATCTGGCGCCGCATCGCCGTCCGCGGCCGCGGGCCCGTGCGCGCGCGCCGGTCCCCGAGCCGGTCCCGGTCGCGGTCCCGGTCGCCGTCGCCGCCGCCGAAGCAGGCCGAGGTCTCCGAGGCCGTGCTCGCGCAGCGGAAGCGCAACGCGGACCGCTTCGGCGGCGACGGCGCGGGCGCCGCGCGCCTCGCGGCGAAGACGGGGCTCGCGAAGCTCCCCGGGTCCGGCGCGCCGGCGGACTTCGAGCTGCCGGCGTCGTCGACGCCCGCGGACTCGGCGCCGGAGCCCGAGCCGGGCCCGTCGGCGGCCGAGCTCCGCGCGGAGCGGCTCCGCAAAGCGCGCGAGAAGCAGGAGCTCCTGCGCGCGCAGATGGCCGCGGAGCTGCCGCCGGCGTCGGAGGCGCCGCCGAAGCCCAAGGCGCCCGCGCCGCCGCCGCCCGCGAAGAAGGTCGTCTCGCTCAAGGGCAAGCCCCGGCCGCCGCCGGCCGAGGACGCGCCCGAGGCGGCGGCGCCCGAGGCGGCGGCGGCCGAGCCCGCGCTCCGCTACGGCAAGGACGAGCTCCTGGGCCTCCGCGGCGCGGCGCCCAAGGAGGCGCCGGAGCCGGAGGCGCCCGCCGCCGCCGCGCCCAAGCCCAAGCCCAAGCCCAAGCCCGCCGCGGCGCCCAAGCCCGTCGCCGCCGCGCCGGAGCCGGAGGCCGCGGCGCCCAAGCCCGTCGCCGCGCCGGCGCCGGAGCCGGAGCCCGCGGCGCCGGCCCCGGAGCCCGAGGCCCCCGCGCCCGCGGCGGCCGCGCCGTCGCTCACGAAGGCGCAGGTCGACAAGATGACCGTGCCCCTGCTGAAGAAGGCCCTCGAGGCCCGGGGCCTCGAGGTCAAGGGCCTCAAGGCCGCCCTCAAGGGGCGGCTCCTCGACGCGCTCGGGCTCTAAGACTGCCTTATACAGCCCGCCGTCGCGCGAGGCCGCTCATTGGAAGAGGTCCTTGTACTTGCCCTCGATGTGGCCGACGAGGTCGTCGTAGTTCTTGAGGTCGAACTCCTCGCCGAAGCTGCAGAACCGCGTCGGCGACAGGCACGCGCCGTCCTCGATCGTGCCGACGACCTCGACGCAGCCGCTGCGCAAGGACGCGTGAGGGGAGGTCGCGCGCGGCGGCGCGGGGCATCGGGGCGCGGCGCGGGCGTGCGCGCGCGTCGCGTGGGGAGGTCGCGCGCGGCGTCGCGGGCGCGCGGCGCGGGAGAGGGACGGAGAGGCGCACCTCGCGGGGAACTCCAGCGAGTGCGCGGAGATGGACACCGCGACGCCGTCGGACGTCTCGATGGCGTTCTCGCCCGTGACGCGGCCGACGACGCTCACCATCTTGCCCGGCTCGTACTTGGCCAGGCCGGCGCCGTTCGTGCGCGCGCAGATGCCCGTCTCGAAGAACTACAGGGGTAGCGGGTGAGCGGAGGCGCGACGGCGCGGCGGGGGCGCGCGCGGCGCGATTTTTGCGCGCGGTCGATCGATGCGATCCATGCGATGCGAATGAGAGCGTGCGCGCGTCGTTTTGGGCGGGTTGGGTGGTTGCTGGAGTGGGCACCCACCTCCGCCATGTTTTGAACGAGCTGAAGCTTCCCGCGGAACCGAGCTGCACAGAGAGGGTGCTGATCTTCGCTGGGCTTTGTTCGTCATATGAGGCTGCCCAAACTCGATTAACGATGCTGGCGCTCAACGCCTACCGCGCCTGGTCGCGGCGGCGCCCGCTGTCGGCGGCTTTTGCGACGTGCTTCGTCAAGGGCAGCGCGTCGGACGCCGTGGCCCAGCACTTGGAAGACGAGCCCTTCGACGCACCGCGGAATTTAGCCTTCGCCAGCTTCTCGGGCGCGTACCTGGGCATCGGCCAGCACTTTGTGTATAACATCGCCTTCACGCGGGCCTTCGGCGCGGGCCGCGACTGGGCGACGGCGGCGAAGAAGGTCGCGGCGGATTCGTTCGCGCACGTGCCGCTCCTATATTTGCCGCTCTACTACCCGTTCAAACAGATCGCGCTCGGCGACGGGCCCTACGGCGAGCGCGCCGCCGACGGCCTCCGACGCTACGCGGACGACGCGCCCGTCGTTCTGACGACGTACTGGAAAACCTGGCCCGCGGTGCACTTCGTCTCCTTCAGCGTCCTCCCGCCGGAGCTGCGCATCGGCTTCGTCGCGTCGGCGTCCTTCCTCTGGCTCATCTTTCTCTCCTACGCGTCGCACGAGACCAGGGCGCCCGCCGCGGAGGACTAACGACCGTAGGCGTCCCACGCGCGGGGCCAGCTCCAGCCGAGGAGCTCGAAGAAATGCCGCTCGTAGAAGAGGAGGTCGTCGGCCATGTCCCGCGTCAGCCCGATCCGCGCCATCGTCGCCATCGGGTCGCTCTCGAGCGTCGCGTTCGCCGGCTCGCGCGGCGCCTGCGCCGCCTTCGAGACCGCGCCCCGGTTCGTCCAGGACGCGTAGGGGTTCGCGCGCACCTTCAACTGCGGCAGCCCGAGGAACTCGGCGAGCCTCGGCCCGCAGACGTCGCGCGCCACGCACCAGTCCATGCGGAGCACGAGCACGCTTTCCCTCCCGAAGACGCGGAAGAGCACGTCGACCAAAAACACGAAGTGGGCGCTCTCGAAGAAGGTGAGCGTGATGGGGCTGCCGACCCGCGCCGGCGTCTTCCAGCGGCCGCCGATGTCCAGGTCGCCGAGGCCGCGGAACGGCGACGCGGCGAGCGAGCACGCGGGCGCCCAGTCGCCCGCGCGCGCGCAGCCCGCGGCCCGCAGCTTCGCCGCGTACGCGTCCCACTGCCGCGCGAGGAACGTGGTCGGGTCGTCGCGGCTCTCCCGGAGGTGGCGCTCGAAGTACTGCCACGGGTAGCGGAGCGAGAGCGCGAGCTTCGCCGCCGGGTTCGTCTGCCAGATCGCCAGCAGGTAGCAGACGTGGGACGAGTACTCCGGCGTCTTGTCGACGACGAGCTTCGGCGCCTGCTTGGACTCGAGGCACGCGCGCCGGTCGTCGTCGCAGCGGACGCGGACGCCCTGTCGCGCGCGAGTCCGCTGCAGGTAGTTCGAGTAGTCGTTCCGCCAGATGCGCTTCGGGTTGTTGAAGAAGTTGAGCTCGCCCTCGCCGGCCGGCGCGGCGGCGACGGCGCAGAGCTTGCCCTTCTGCGTGTTCCTGCAGGCGCGGATGAGCTCCTCGCGGAGCGACGTCGTGCCGGTACGCGAGTAGCCCACGAGGAACGCGTCGACGGGCGCCATGCGCCACATGCGGCCCGACGAGTCGGCGATGCACTGCTTCGACGCGTTGAGGTGTAACGTCGGCAAATAGGCATCCAACGCGGCGCGCACGGCGCGCGTGTCGAGCTTGACGGGCACGATGGACCGCAGCGCCGTGGCGTCGTCGAAGCGGGCCAGAGGGATGTCGCGCACGGGGATCTCGCAGTCCAGGGCGGTCGCGGCGGCCAGCGCTGCGATCGTAATCCACCAGCGCTGGCGCATCGATGGGATCACGACGATGCCACGGCCATCGGGGCTGCGTTAGTGCAACCTTGATGGTGGTGGTCAACACTGGCCTCGAGGTCTATTCATATGAGCTCGTCTCGTGCTGCGGCCTGCCGGCGTCGCGTCGTGCGACGGGCCGCGCCGTGCCAGGCGTTGTTCTCGACGTAAAACTGCGCGCCGTCGTGCCGCGCCGCGCCGCACCACCGCCGCCCGTCGCCGCCGCCGGCCCGGAGCTCGTTTTGTCATGCCGATGGCGGCGCTTCCGTCGGAGACGTTGGCCCATGTCGTAAGCTTCTTACTGTCGTGGAAAGACCGTCGACAACTGCTCGCGCTCCGCGCAGCGTCGCCTTTCTACCGAGACGCGGTGGAGCGGGCGCTGCTGCACGCGCATTTGGGTTACGGCAAGGTGGAAAAACGGTTAGACTATGTTGGAGCGGTTCATACTATGTTGGAGCGGTTCGAGCGCATTTGCGTCGCCAACGAAGAAGCCGATGCGCCAGCTGATCCGCACTGCGACCCGCGAGCGATAGTGGCTTGGGGCCGTGTATTCGGTCGCGCCTGTCGAGATCTCAGTTTCTCTGGATCGTCCACGGAGGCGTTGCGTTCGATACGTTCCCTGGTCCGGGACACCAAGGGTGGCTTGACCGAGCTTGACGTCATTAACACATCCATCTCTGTGGAAGGGCTCTTGGAAATTTGCCGCGCGTCTCCTCTATTGGAAGACTTGTTCATTTCACTCAACGTTCCGCACATATACGCGGCCATGGACGATGCGTTGGAATCATTTGCGACGAGCATGAGTCGCGCATGCCCATTGCTCCGCAGTTTTGAATTTGGAGACACTGATGCCAGCTTAGGCTTGGCCAGCTCTAGCCCGGCTGAATATTACGCGAGGTTTTTCCCGAACCTTGCAAAACTAGACTTTACGAATTGGAGGAGTATCGAGGAAAACGTAAAGTACTGTCCTTCAGACTTGGACAATATCGAGGAGGCGTGCCGGCGATGCCTAAATGCGACAGAGTGGACATTTGAGAATTGCCTCGTGACGCCGCCTCTCATCACTCGTATGCTAACGACACCCCTGTGCTCTCGCGTCCGCAAGGTGGTCCTACAAGAGGCCCGGGTCTCATCGTCATCGGTGCTACAACTTGCAGCCGGCTGCCCTATGCTACGGATGTTGGATGTCATGAATGACGTTCCTGACTTGAAAACTCCCGCGTTCTTCGAGGCGCTTTCGAGCACGAGGCCCGAGCTCACTGAACTGATTCTCCACCTCGCGGACAATCCTGCGCCGGTCAATGATGTCTGCCTGCGATTCATCGGGAGACTCGGCTTGGAGCATCTTTGCCTAACGTACCAAAGCCCCCCGGCTCCTTTGTTCACTGCAGCTGGCGTGGACGCCCTCATCGCGGGAACGTGCGCTTCGTCGCTATTGTCCTTCACGAGCTTCCACCCATCACTTGGCGCATCGCTATTTCTTCGTCTGGCCCGCGAATGCCCCAAGCTCACTTATCTTTCCACGGGCCTTGCACCATGGCCCCAGCCACTGCACGAAGACGCCAAACTTGGAGATGCCATCCTCAATAGCCGCCCGCAAACTCCACGGTCGTTCGCCTAGGGTCTTAATAGGGCAGGTGGTTGAGGCTCTGGTACTGGTGCTCGCAGTAGGCGCGCTGGAGGACCTCGACGAACTCGCAGTCCTCCATGGGCGACGTCGTCGCGTTCGCGCCGCAGGACGCGTCCCAGAGCTCCTGGGACTTGCCCTGGAAGCGCCAGCCGCAGAAGGCGAAGTGGAAGGACGGGCTCAGGTGGAACTCGAAGCGCGGGTCCGACGTGTGCCGGAGCGACGCGTTGCCGAGCTTGAGGAGCCAGGCGTCGTCGAGGTCCGAGAAGTCGTCGTCGCCGCCGAAGAGGAGGATCGCGGGCGGCACGGCCGCGTCCGTGTCCGGCAGGAGGCCCGCGCGGACGTCCGCGGCCGCGGAGACGACGTCGGCGACGCCCGGCTCGAGGTAGGCCAGGGACGCGTAGTAGCGCCCCCGCGGCGCGGGCCGGTCGTTGACGGCTTCGACCGTCGCCGCGACGACGAACGCGCCGTCGACGCGGTGGCGGCCCGGGTCGACCTCGATCTCGTGGGGGCCCGGCCAGACCTCGTCGTCGAGGCCCCACCAGCGGTTCGAGAGCATGTCGAGCCAGAGCACGCGGCCGTCGAACTGCGAGCACGGCAGGCCGCGCTCGTCGTGCCAGCCGCCCAACCCGCCGAACGCGTAGATGCCCCAGGGCGTGATGACCGCCGCCTTGCCCACGGGGTCGTAGACGCCCTCGGGCTGGGGCGCCGCGCTCAGGGCCGTCCACGCGTTCGTCAAAATGTCGTAGCGCCACAGCGCCTTGTCCGGGAACGGGTCCGACGCGGTCCGCCCGCCGTAGACGAAGAGGCTGTCGCCCGTGGACACGCCCAGCGCCCCGGCCAGCGCCGGCGGCGCGTCGCCGGTGGCGTTCGTCACGTTGCGCCAGACGTAGCGCCGCTCGCAGCGCTCGAGGCGCGACACGACGCGGAACGCCGTCAAGTTCGCCGCGTTGTAATTTTTCCGCAGGCCGCCGGAATGGTCCGTCACCACGAGCGTCCAGGTGCCGCTCGGCCGCGCGCCCTCGAACTCGGCGAGCGCGTCGACGGGCCGGAAGGTGCCGCCGTAGGGGTTCTTCGCGTCCGGGGCGCGGACGTCCACGGGAGCGTCGTCGTCGAAGAGCATGCCCGGGTCGCCCTTGTACCCAAAGTCGTTTAGGGCGTCCTGCGTGCTGAAGGGCGGGTCGAGGCGGTCGCAGGCCTCCGAATTCGCGTCCGGCGCGTGGAGCAGCACGGGCCACGACGCCGCGACGGGGTCGCGGAAGTTGCCGTCGCCCGACACGGGGCCCGGCCCGACGACGGAGATGCTCAGCTGGGACGCGCAGGGGTGGCTGATGCGCACGTAGATGTCCACATCTCTCAAACACCACTCGTCGCCCGCCGTCACGTTCACGTCGAAGTAGGTCGTCCGCGCGTCCGGCACGAAGACGGGGTCGACGGCCGAGCCCGCCGTCCAGGACCACGTCGCGCGCCGGGGCGCGCCGACGTCCAGCAGCCACAGGTCCCGGTAGTAGGCGAACTCGAGGTCGCCGTCCTCGACGTAGCGCGGGTCCGGCTCCTTGACGCCGCCGAAGACCGCGACGAAGCCGCCGACGGCCGCGGCGACGTGGCGGCTCCGCGGCGGCGGCCACGACGCGTTGCGGCCCGGCCGGATCAGCTCCCATTCCAGTAAACCCGCGTCCAGGCGCCAGAGCTCGTCGGAGGCGCCCATGCGCCGCACGCAGCGCTCGTTGTCGAAGCCGCGCCACCGGTACGCGCCGAGGCGGAACGTCGCGCCGACCGCACCGTCGCACTCGTAGCCGTCGCCGTGGCCGCCAAAGAGGAAGACGGCGCCGAGCTCCGCCGAGGGTAAACGATAGGCGCGGATCTCCGGCGCGCCGCCCAGCCGCGTGAGGCTGTGGCCCTGGCGGCCCGACGGCGCCGAGGGGTAGAACTCCGTCGGCGCGTCCGCCGCGCGGCCCGCGGCGCTTTCCGACGCGGCGTCGTCGGCCCCCAGGCCCGTCTGCGCCCCCATGCTGTAGTGGGGGCGGCCGAGCACGGGCGACGCGGCGCCGTAGCCGCCGTCGGAAAAGGCCGCGACGGACGGGTGCACGCGGACCCACTCGTCGCGCGGGTGGGGCAGCGTGCGGCAGGCCACGGCCTCGCCCGGCGGCGACGTCGCCGTCTGGTTCGCGCCCCGCAGGCGGAAGCGGTAGGCCGCGTCCGAGTCCAGACCCGCGACGTCGACGCCGCCGTCGGCCGCCGCGCGGACCGCGACGAGTTTGAAGCCGCCGACGTCGCCCTCGGCCATCTCCACGTGGTAGCGCTCGGCCCAGAAGTAGGTCGCCGCGTCGTTGGGCGGCCACGCGAGGGACACGGCGCTGTGGTTCGCGTCGGCGACGACGGGCGTCGGCGGGCTCAGCGCGCCCCAGCGCGCCTCGACCGGTCGGTAGGCGAGGTCCGCGTCGAACCACGCGGACCCGCCGCCGCCGCCGCCCGCGTCGACGCCCGAGCCGCCGCCGCCGCCCCCGAAGTAGCCGCCGCCGCCGCCGCCGCCGCCCTCCTTGCCCGAGCCGCCCGCGCCGCCCAAATTCCGCGCGCCGCGCGCGCCGTCGACGGCGATCGCGCCCCGCAGGTCCGCGACGGCCGCGGCGCCCGGCCGCTGCGACGTCGACACGACGACGCCCTCCGTGCTCACTTCGAAGGACCCCGGCGCCCCCGGGTCGCCGCCGGCGCCCTGGGAGGCGCCGCGGCCGCCCGCGGCGACGGCCGAGTAGTCCGCGCCCGGCGCCTCGCCGAGGTCCACGTGGCGGTGCCGCGCGTGGGGCCCGCTCAGGTCCCGCGCGTCGCTGCCGCCGACGTCGACGGCGATCGTCCCGGACCCGTCGCCGTCGACGGCGCTGTACTCGTCGCGCGCCGCGCCGTACAGACCGACGTCCACCGGCGTCGCGAGCCCGGGCGCGTAGCCGTCCTCTCCGTCGTCGCCGCCGCCGCCGCCGCCGTGGCCGCAGCAGTAGTCCGACGCGCCCGCGCCGCCGCCGCCGCCGGCGACGGCGAGCACGGCGCCGTCGCTCGTGCGGACGACCTCGCTCCGGCCGCCGCCGCCGCCGCCGCACCACTCGCCGCGCCCCCCCGCGGCGCCGCCGCCGTAGCCGCCCGCGCCCGGCCGCGAGTCCGTCGCGCCGCCGCCGCCGCCGCCGACGAGCACCGTCAGCGTCTCCCCCGGGACGACCGAGAGCGACACGGACAGGTAGCCCCCGCCGCCGCCTGGGCAGGAAAAGAGTGATTCAACGTCGCTTCAACGTGAGTGTTCCGCGCGCGCGCGTTCCGGAAAAAGCATCCACGCTTCGAGACCGTTCCGAGAGATGATCGCTCGTCCAAAAGTCAGCCGAAACGAGTGGAAAACGGCCGAGATAGGAGCCTTTGAAGTTGGGAATTTCGCTCTCTTTTGCTGCCCTGGCCGCCGCCGCGCGCGAAGAACTTGTCCAGGCGCAGGTCGTCGACGAGCGCCTCCGTCGCGCGGCTCGTCGCGTTCGCCTCGCCCCGCCCCGCGCCGGCGCCGCCGCCGCCGCCGCCCCAGAGCTTCGCGACGAGCCGCTTCGCGCCCGGCCGGCCCGGGAGCCGCCGGGGCACGACGTAGGTCTGGGGCCGCCCCGCCGCGTAGAAGACGCCGCGCGCGCCCTTGATCGGGTGCGCCGCGGCGCCGTCGTAGGCCGCGAGCACGACCAGACCGCCGTTGCCGTCGCCGTCGCCGCCGTCGCCCGCGCCGCCGACGTAGTCCGGATCCCGCTGCCGCGCGGCCGCCCAGCCCACCGCGGCCTCCTTGAGCGACCGGGCCTCGGCGCGGCGCTGCGTCGACCGCCCCACGGTCTCGAAGACGCGCAGGGCGTCGTTCGTCGCGACCCACGCGGACGCGGCGCTCCACTCGGACGCCGCGCCGCGACCGTCGACGGCGCGCGCGCGGAACCGGTAGCGCGTGTTCGGCTCCACGTTGAAGACCTCCGCGTCCAGCGCGTCGCGGTAGGTCTCCAGCGAGCCGACCTGGAGCCGCTCGACGACGACGCCGACGCCGTCGCCGGAGTACGCGCAGCTCAGGTCCACGTTCTCGGGCTCGAGCGCGGGGAAGACGCCCGTGGCCCGCAGGTCCGCGCCGGCGACGGCGCCGATGTCCTTGAAGTGGACCTTCCAGGCGAAGGCGCCCCGCGCGGGCGCGTGCGACTCGAGCGCGCCCGGCGTGTGCCGCGTGACCGCGAGCGACCCCTCCGGAACGACGTCCAGCGCCTCCAGGGCCTTCTTGACGGCGAAGGCCGACGCGTCGAACGGCAGGTCGCCCGTCACCGTGCCGCGCTCGTAGGCGCCGCGCACGGGCAGCCGCAGGCGGAACGTGCCCCCCGAGATCGCGCCCGCGTCGCAGCGGCTCGTCGCGAGCTGGATCTCGTCGACGGCGTCCGTCAACACGTAGGGCAGGGGCCGGTCGTAGGCGACGTCCCAGCCCACGGGCGCCGCGAAGCCCCGCCCCTTCCAGGCCTGCGTGCCGAGCTCGAAGTGGCGCGCGACCGTCGCGGACCGGCTCCCTAAACCGTCGGCCGCGAACGGCAAAAAGCGCACGAGGATCGCGCCGTCGCCGCCGTCGAGCGTCGCGACGGGCGCCGAGGGCACGGGCGGCTTCGGGTCCCGCGTCGCGACGCCGCCGTTGGACGACAGGGACCAGGGCGACGCGCCCGCCGCGTTCGCCGCGCGCGACCGCGCGAAGACGGCCGCGCCCGCCTCGAGCCCGTAAAGCGTCGCCGTCGCCCAGCCCGAGCCGTCGACGTCGATGGGCGCCGGCGCGTCGACCCAGGGCGCCGCCTCGTCCTGGCGGTACTGGAGCTCGTAGGTCGCCGCGGGCGGCGCGGACGCCGCGGCCTGCTGGGCCGCGTTCGGCGGCGTCGACGCGTAGAAGACGGCGCTGCCCCGCGGCAGGGCGCTGTCGTCGAGGACGGCGAAGACCGGCGCCAGGGGCCGCGGCGGCGGGCGCACGGCGATGAGCCGCGCGGTCTCGGACGCGGGGCCGTGCGGCGACCAACCCGCGGCGTTGTGCGCGGCGATCCGGAAGGCGTAGAGGCCGCCGGGGTGCGCCAGGGACGTCGCGTTGTAGGCGCACAACGGCGCCGGCGGCGGCCGGCCGCCGCCGCCGACGACGCCGGAGACGGGGTGCTTCGGCGACGTCCGCCACTCGGCCGCGCCGCAGGGCAGCGACGAGCCCGCGCGCCACACGGAGACCGCCGGGCCGGGCCCCGTCCAGGACACGCCGAGGCTGACGGTCTCCTTGTAGATGCCCAGCACGGGGATGGAGCCGAAGCCCGCGGACGGCATGGGCGCGCTCATCGTCTGCGTCCTGAGGTCCAGGGTGGGCTGGTTGAACTCGCGGAGGGCGCCGTCGTAGGCCGTCGCCTCCGTGCGCGGCGTGTCGAACTCGACGTGCCAGGAGTAGGCGCCGTAGGCGCCGAAGGGGCAGCCGCCGACCCAGCCGCCGACGCCGCCGGAGCCCAACACGCCGTCGCAGCGGATGACGTGGACGAGCGCGTCCACGTTCTCGAGGCCCTCGATGGCCGCCTTGACCTCGGCGGCCGTCGCGTCGTAGGGGATCTCGCTCGTGTAGGCCACGGCGTCCGTGTTCAGCGGGCTGATGCCGTCGAAGGCCGCGTAGATTTGGAAGTAGCCGCCCGCGACCGTCGACCCCTTGTCGACGCGGATGTTGATGGTCTGCACCTCGTTGCGCGGCTTGACGGTCTCGACGGCGTCGTCGAGGCTCCGCCAGCCGAGGTGCCGCTCCTGCAGGGACATGACCTCGACCTCGTAGGCGTCCACCGGGTAGCTCAAACGCGCGTCGACGGGCTCCCAGTGCAGCATCATGGAGCTCGTCGTCACGTTGGAGATCGTCGGGGGCTGGCGCGGCGCGTCGGGCACGAAGTACTCGACGGCCGCGGCCGAGCACAGGGCCAGCGCGAGGGGGACGGCGCGCCGTCTCACCAACGTAAAGCTGCCCATTGTGCAGCGGCGTTTGGCGCCCGAGGTTCTTGAAGATTACAATACTTGTCAATAGTAAGGTTGCAGTCGGGGCAGGGTTCGGGCAGCGATGGCTGCGATTGTCGGCAAGGATGGCACCGTGTCGGCTGCGATTGTCGGCAAGGATGGCACCGTGTCGGCTGCGAAGAAGCCGCAATTCCGCGACTACACGGTCGGCGGCCCCGAGGCGGAGCTGGCCGTCGCAAAGGGACTCGCGAACGGCGTGTGGTTCGTGCCGTTCGTGGAGCGCAAGACCATGCGCCGCCTCATGCAGCGCGACGACTGGCACGCCACGCGCGACACGATGATGCTCCTGGCGATCTTGGCCGCGACGGCCTACAAGTCGTATGTCTACTGGCAAGCGGGCGCGTACACGCGCTTCGCGCTCGTCTTCTGGGTCTACTGCACCTTCTACACGTCGTGCGGCGACAGCCGCTGGCACGAGTGCGGCCACGGCACGGCGTTCGCGACGAAATGGAAGAACGACTGGCTCTACAACGCGGCGTCCTTCGCCGTGTTTCGGGAACCGCTCGTCTGGCGGTTTTCCCACGCGCGGCACCACACCGACACGGACATCGTCGGTCGCGATCCGGAGGCGGACGCGCGCCCGCTGACGATGCCGGACCTCGCCCTCGCCTTTCTCAACTACGGCGGCATCAAGACAGAGGCGGCGAGAGATCAGCGTCCTGTGGCCGTGACGATTTTCGAGAGATTTTGGGTGTGAAAACAATGAGAAATCGTCACCGTCATGCTTGGTAGGCGAAGATCTGGATGCACGCCCGGGGAGAGCTGAGCGCGCCGGAGCGCACGTTCGTGCCCGCGAGCGAGCGCGCGGCCGTCGTCTTCCAGGCGCGCGCCTTCCTGGCCATCTACGCGGCGACGGTCGTGTGGTCGCTGCTTTCCAGGAGCCCGCTGCCCTGCATGTTCATATTCCTCCCGTACTCGCTCGGCGCGTGGCACTTCGTGCTCACGGGCGTCTTCCAGCACGCGTCGCTCGAGCAGGACGTGCTGGACCATCGCCTAAACACGCGGACGTGCTACGTCAACGCGATCAGCGGTTTCATCTACTGGAACATGCAGTACCACGTCGAGCACCACATGTTCCCCATGGTGCCCTACTACAATCTGCCGGAGCTGCACGCGGTGCTCCAGGCCGGCGGCCAGATGCCCGAGCCCTACGCGAGCATGTGGTCGGTCTATCGCGAGATGATCCCCGCGCTCATCAAACAGACGACGGACCCGGACTACTGCACGAAGCGGCCCCTGCCGCCGCCGCTGCCCGAGGCGCGGGTGGCGGAGCTCCGCAAGGACGCGGGCGCTCCCGACGCCGACGGCTGGGTCGCGGCCTGCGACTTCGGCGACGTCGCGCCCGGCGACATGCTCCGCTTCGAAGTGGGGAACCGGTCGTACAACGTCTACCACGCCGAGGACGACGGGCTCTGGTACGCCACCGCGGGGAAATGCACCCACGGCGCGGCCTACCTCGCCGACGGCCTCGTCGTCGAGAAGACGCTCGTCGAGTGCCCGAAGCACAACGGCTGCTTCGACTTCAAGACGGGCCTGCCGAAGCGGCTCCCCGTGAAGACGCGGCTCGCCACCTACGCGACCAAGGTCGAGGCCGGCGTCGTCCACGTCCAGGTCGCGCCGCGCAGGAAGGGCGGGCGGGAGCTAGCGTACGAGTAACGGCAAGTTGCACGGCAATTACCTCAAAGCCGTCCCCGCCGGGGTATTTACTCTGAGTTTGTCCCCTGTTGAAGCGGCACCGGCGGTGCAGTCGTTGCATGGGCTTTTCTTCGCGGCGCTCGCGATGGCGCTTAAGCGTTATGCGCCGGGATCGGCACTGGGGAAGGTGTCTCGCTACCTCAGGACACGCCTTCGTTCGGGCGTCGACCCACCATGACGCGGATCCAGCCAATGTCCTGAGGCAGCGACCATGCGGAAGCCGTCGAACCCGACGTCGGTCGGCTCGAGGTCCCGAGGGGCAGCCCGGGGCGCCTGGGGTGGGGCCTCACCTCAGGACATGGTCTGGACCCGACCCTATCATGGTATGGAACGGATCGAGACCATGTCCTGAGGCAGGGGCAGCCCCAGACACCCCACGGCCACCGTCGGGACGAAACGCCGCCGGAGCTCGGCCCGGTGGACTCGACGATTTCGGGCTCCCCCGACGAACTCGCCGCCTTGGACGCGACGGGGTCGATGACGAACGATCTCCGCTGCTGCGATGGCTCGAAAACTATCTTAGAGAGGTCGCGAGGGGGCAGCGCGTCCCTTCCCACCCACTCTACCTCCCCGTTCCAGTCGCCACGCGGTCGTATGAGCGTCGCGTCTTCGCATGTGCCTCACCCTCGTCCTTGCGGCCCTCGCAGCTGCTGGGATCGTTGCACAATTCTGCATATTCGCGGAGCGGCGGGCCCTCAAAGACGGCCATCCCATCGCAGCGCGCCGCCAAAACGCTGCACAATGTCGATCATGAAGCACGGAGGACATTCGATCGACTTTACCCCGGCGGGGTCGAGTCGGGAGAGCATGGCCGAATTCATCGACCTGTGCGCCGAGAGCTCCGATGACGAGGAGCAAGCAGCGGCGCTCACGGCCCGCTTAGATGCCGAGGAGGCGTCGCTCGCGCTCGCGCAGCGGCTGCAGGCCGAGGAGGACGCGCGCGGCCCGGCACCTGCTGAGGCGCCGGAGGAGGCTCTGGCGGAGGCGCCGCCGGAGGTCAGCGAGGCGCCGGCGCAGGCCAAGGCGCCGGAGCCCGCGGCGGAGGAGGCCGCGCCGCCGGCGAAGCGCCAGAAGACGTCGGCGGCGACCGAGCCATCCGAGGTGGCCACGTCGGCGGCGACCGAGCCATCCGAGGCGGCCGAGCCCTCCGCCGCCAGCGGCCGGGTCGTCCGGATCGCGACGTGGAACGCGCGGAGCGTGCTCCCGGAGGGCGAGAACAAGGACAAGCTGCGGACGACGCTCGAGCTCCTGGGCCAGCCCGACCTCCTCGCGGTCCAGGAGACGGTCCACGTCCGCAAGACGGGCAAGAAGGGCGACGAGCGCGTCGACGACGCGAAGACGGCGACGCACACGGCGAAGATCGCCGCGAAGGCGGCGGAGCTGGGCTACGAGGCTTTCTTCGCGTCTCCGGACCCCGCGCAGTACAAGGGCAACGACGACTTCTGCCACGGCACGGCTTTGTTCGTGAAGCGCGACGGCCTCTTGGCCGGCGGTCACCTCGTCGCGGTGCCCTGGGACCACGACGGCCACGTCCTCTGCTACGACCACGACCTCGGTCGCGTCGTCGGCGTCTACCTGCCGACGCCGACGAAGAAGTCGCGCTTCGCGGGGACGCCCTGGGAGCCGCCCTACCCGCAGCACGCGGTGCGGTCGACGTACGACCGCGAGCTGCGGTCGCTCCTCCTCGACAGCGGCGACAACCTCCTCGCGTTCCTCGGCGACTGCAACGTGACGCCGACGGCGCAGGACACGAGCGGCGACCTCTGGAAGGGCAAGCACGCGGAGGCGCGCGATCGCTGGAACGTCATGATCCGGGAGACGGGCCTCGTCGACGCGTTCCGCGAAAAGCACCCGACCGCGCGGCGCTACACGTCGTACCAGCTGCCGAAGAACCAGCCCAAGAGCTGCGCCACCAAGTGGCAGAGCGACATCAAGCCCGGCCGCGTCGACCTCTGCTACGTGCCCAGGGCGCGCGCCGTCCGGAGCGCCGAGGTCATGGACGCCGACGGGGTCTTCACGACCGCCGACATGACGCGCGCGCTCCGCTCGGACCACGTCCCCGTGCTCGTCGAGATCGAAGTGTAGATGTATAAACAGATGTTAGACCGCAGAAGCCCCGCGCGGGAACCCGCGCTCCGCGTTGACCTCGACGTAGACGTGTCTCGTCGCGCCGAAGCGCCGGAGCACGCGGCGCGCGGCGTCGGCGACGGACTCGATGCGGATGCCCGCGCGCGCCGCGGACGCGGCGGCCTTGTCGTCGCCGACCTCGAGGCGCACCATGGCGCAGCGCTCGAGCGGGTCGCGGAGGTGGACGAGCGCCGTCGACTCGACCTTCGCCCGGCCCTTGAGCGCGGCCTGGAGCTGGTCCCGGAGCGCGCCCTTGTCGTCCGGCGGCGGCGCGCCCTCGAGCAGCGTCCACGCGGCGCGGACGCCCACGGGCCAGGCGGCGGCGCCGATGGCGAGGCTCAGGAACAGGGAGAGCGCCGGGTCGAGGTAGAGGCCGAGGCCCCGCATGACGCGGCTCGGCAGCGCGCGGCCGCCGTGCTGCAGCAGCAGCGCCTCGCCGAGGACGAGCAGGCACCCCGCGGCGTCGCCGACGTGGTGGAGCACGATCGCGAGGCGGCCGACGTCGAGGCGCGGCGCCGGCGCCGCCGCATCGGCCTCGGGCTCCGGGCTCGGCGGCGCGCAGGGCACGCAGGGCAGGCACGTGGCGCCGCCGTCGCCGGCCGACGGCAGAGCGCGGAACGACGGCGGCCGCTTCGCGCCCCGCTGCATGGGCGCCTGGAACGCGAGCGTCTGCAGCGTCGGCGGCGGCGGCGCGGCGGCGCAGCAGCCGTCGGCGCAGGCCATGCGCCCGATGCTCGCCCAGCGGCCGGCGCCCGCGACGGGCGCGTGGTTTCCGTCGCAGACGCCGCCGCCGACGTGCACGTGGGCGCCCTCGACGCCGCAGCAGGCCATGAGCGCGCTCGCGATGTTGACGACGGCGCCGACGGCCGACACGATCAGCAGCGCCCGCAGGTCGCTGACCGCGTCGGGCCGGTAGAACTTGCAGAGCGCCGAGAGCGCGATGGACAAGCAGAGCGCTTCCAGCGCGGCGACGTTGACGAGCGCGCCCACGGTCGTCGCGCGCGCGTAGCCGAAGGGCAGCCGCTCGCGGTCGTAGTCGCGCTTGTCGTAGCTCTCGGCGAGCATGGCGACGAACGCGCTCGCCGCGTCCGAAAAATTGTGCGCGCCGTCGGACACGAGCGCGAGCGAGCGGATCGACGTGCCGACGACGATCTCGGCGAAGGCGAGGAGCACGTTCAGCGCCACGATCCAGCCCAGGTTGAGCTTCGTGCGCTTCGGGGGGGCGGCGACGTCCAGCGCCGGCGTCTCTTTTATCTCGTTCGCTTCCACGTCGACCGTCTGGACCTTGGCGTAGGCGGATTTTTTCGCCGTGAATCGCGCAAAAAAGCTGTCGCGTTGCTTGGTGCCGGCGGCCGTGTTGTCGGCGTCATTCGGGGCGGTGATCTGAGTGCCAGGCCTGCACATCGCCTCTCACTGACGCTTGGCCTGACTTTTTTGCTTCAACAACCGGTCATGAAGAATGCAAACTCAAGTTGAAGGCATCGCAATCATACTTCGCCACTGCCGGCTAAGCTAAAGTTAACCGGTTCAAAGAGCAGCGAAGCCGTGAAGTTTTGACGTCACGGCTTTGCCTCGCTCCGGGCTCGGACGCGCGATGCAGCGGTTCCAAGACTTGGCGCGGCGCTCGGTCTGTGGACCATGTCGCGCCTTGGGCCCGGCTGTGAGTCGCTCGGGAAAGACCATCGGTCGAAGGCGAGCAACTTAGTTCGCGTCGGGGCAGCCCGTGGATGACGAGAACGGCCATTAACGGTGGGGGGCGACCGACGAGGGGCCCAACTTAGTTCCAGGGGGCGTTTGGGCTGTTAGACGTCGAAGAGACCCCCCCTGGAATGATGTTCCCGAGGGCACTGTCTCGGTTCTAACAGCCCAAACGCCTCATGCATTGCGCGGTGAGCACCGTGTCACCCGCGGCGCCGCACGCCTCCCGGAGGTGGTGAGGTGATCTCGATCAAATCCACTCGAGCCGAAGAGCTGCCGCGAGGGCATCTGGTCGCCCCCATGACGAACGATTCCCGACGCTCTGTGACTCGAAGGGGACCGAAAATCGGGTCGGGGGAAGCTGCCGCGCCTCATTCCACCCCCTGGGGCTGCCCGTTTGCGTCGCCTCGCAATCGTCCGGATGTCACGTCTTTTCATGTGCCTCACCCACATGTTTGCGGACCTCAAAGCCACTGGGATCGTTGCACGTCGCTGCATATTCGAGGAGCGCGGGGCCCTCTAAGGTGGAGATTCCATCATCGGCCGCTGAAATGCTCGCACGAGAGACCGTCTCTTAGCTACGGATTACTGCAGCATTGCTTCATAGATGTGCTTGTTCAACGACGGCTCATTCGCAGCCGTAGCCGGTGGTGCGACGAAGGTCGACGAAGTCATCGTACGATCGTCGAGGCCGGCGGCGCCTGGCGCAAAGTCGTGGCGCCGCGCAGGGGGGGGGGCTCAAAAGCCAGTACCCCAAGAGCACATTACGCGCCGCACGCCGCGGGGCAGCTCTGGAAGGCCCAGGAGTCGTCGTCGCCCTTGACCGTGCATCGCGCGGGCGCGTCGTTCGCGACCCAGGGGCAGTCCTTGGACGGCTTGTTCTTCTTCGCCCAGGACGCGTCGTCGGCCCCGGCGTACCAGCCGATCAGGCACGCGGCCCGGCACGATTCGAACGCGTAGGTGCCGTCGTCGCCGACGGCGACGCAGCGGCTCGTCGCCGCGGCCGCCCACGCGCAGTCCTTCCACGGCTGGTCCTTCTTCGCCCACGTGTTCGAGTCGCGATAGCCCTCGTAGAAGCAGCGCCGCGTCGCCGACGGGCAGGATTCGAAGGCCATGGATCCGTCCTCGCCGATCACCGACGCGCGGTTGTAGTAGTAGCCCGTCACCCAGCCGCAGTCCTTGGCCGCGTCGCTCTTCTTGTGCCAGGACGCCGAGTCGCCGGCGCACTCGTAGGGGCACGTGCTGCAGGTCGCGGGGCAGCTCTGCCACGCCTGGGTCTCGTCGCCTTTCGCCGCGCAGCGGTCCTCGGGGACCTTGGCGACCCAGGCGCAGTCCTTGGCCGGCGCGTTCTTCTTGTGGAAGTCCGGCGCGTCGCTGCACGCCGTCGGGGCGACCGTCGGCGCCGCGGTCGGCGCCGGCGCCGGCTCCGGCGTCGGCGACGGCGCCGCGGGCGCCGCGAGCTCGCACGCGTCCGTGATTCTCACGCGGCCGTAGCCCGCGCTCCAGCCGCCGACGAGCGCCATGGCCGAGCCGTCCGTCGGCGCGGCGAGGTACGTGTACGACTTGGCGGACCGCGCGCCGTCGCACCAGTCGTCGTCGAAGACGCCGCCCGAGAGGTCGAAGAGGACGCCGCCGCCGCCGGGCGGCAGCGGGCTCATCGTCGCCGCGTAGGTCGCGCCCGGCTCGTAGGTACCGCCGCAGGCCACGGCGACGCCGTCCCTCTGGAACTCGACCGTGCGGTACGTGTCCGCCTCCGTGGCCTGGCCCATCATCGTCGTGCCGACGACGAGCTCCCGGCTGCAGGCGACGATCGTCGGGTAAGCCGCCGCGCAGGATGGGCAGATGACGAACGCGGCGCGGCGCAGCGCGGCGCAGCGCGATCTTCGGTGCTGCATCTCGAGCACTACGTTGCCTCGCTGACGCGGTGCGACACAGCCCACATCGCAAGGCTGCCCAAAAATCGAGGCCTGAGGTGGCTTGAAGTTCAAGGTGACGCTCTTAGATTGTCCGGCCCCGCGCCGCGCCACCAGACTTCGTGCCGTGCAAGGTGACGCTCTTAAATGTCCGGCCCCGCGCCGCGCCACCAGGACCGCCGCTTCTTCTTCCGCGGCTTCGGCGTCGGCATGGGCGACGGCCGGGGCACGGGCGGCCGCGACGACGCGAGGCGGACGTCGCCCGCGTCGGGCAGGTCCGCGCGCGCGCGCGCGCACCAGTCGAACGCGCCCGGCGGCGCGTCGAGGAGCGCCTCGAGGCGCCGCTCGCAGTCGACGAGGACCGGCAGGCAGTTGACCGTGCGCCGGAGCAGGGGCAGCACCGTCGCGTTGGAGGCGAGGTGGAAGTTGCCGAGGAGGTCGAGGTCCTCCGTCGCGTACGCGTGCGCCGGGAGCTCGAGGAAGTCGTGGACGTCGTCGAGGATGCGCTGGCGCACGGGCACGTCGCCGCGCAGGTCGTCGGAGTCGAGCAGCAGGAACCGGTCCCTCGGGAACGCGTCGAACCACGGCGCGAGCTTGTCGACGTAGCAGTTGTCCCGGAGGATCTGCGCGAGCTTGGGGGGCATCGCGTTCGACCCGTCGAGGAGGCTGTCCTGGAGGCGCTCGAGCTTTCGCGTCGCCAGGGGGTTCGACATGAAGCGGTCCGCCGGCGACTTGAGCAGCACGAGGAGGCGCAGGTGCGGGAGGTTTCGCGAGAGCCAGAGCCGCGTCGCCTCGTTCGCCGGGACCTGGGCGGCGTCGCGTCGACCTCTCTCGAACGTCGGGACGCCAGGGCGTCGCGTCGACCTCTCTCGAAGGTCGGGACGCCAGGGCGTCGCGAGGAACGCTCTCGAAGGTCGGGACGCCGGCCCGCGCGCCCATGTCGCCGCCGAGCATGGGCGTCGCGTCGAAGGTCACGTCGCGGTCCGGCTTCGACCTACGGGGCGCGTCGAGGTGATTCCACGTACGAGCAGCACTCGCGTCTCCGGACGGCGCGCCCGTCGGCGGACGCCGGCGTCGACGCGACGATCGGGAACGTCCGCGCGTACTCCTCGAGGTCGCAGCGGCTCGAGTTGTTGGGCCCGTGGTGGAGGTCGCAGTTCTCGGGCCGCGAGAAGTAGAAGTGCTCCTTGCGCGTGCCGAAGCCGCAGCGCGGGTGCGCGGCGAGGTACTTGGCGAGCGACGTCGTCCCGCAGCGGCCGAAGCCGATGATGAGGAAGCTCGGCGCGCAGTAGCGCTCCACGTGGCCCCGGTCGCCGACCCTCCGCGGGAAGCAGCGCGGCGCGGGCCGCGGCGGGGACCGCGCGGCCGCCCTCAGCGTGAGGCCGTAGGCGTAGCGGCCGCGCCCCGCGGCGGCGCGCCGCGGCGCCGGGGGCGGGAGCGTCGGGTCCGCGACGGGCGGCTTGGACCGCGAGAGCACGCGCGCGCCCGGGTCGACGGCGCGCGACGCCGCGCACCAGTCGAGCGGCGCGGCGCCCGGCGCGATCGCGGCGCGGAGGCGCGCCTGGGCGGGGTGGTTCGACGGAGCTCTCCGAGAGACGATCGCTCGTCCAAACATCAGCCGAAACGAGTGGATAACGCAGGGGCCTTGGGAAATTTGCGGCGCGGAGGCGCGCCTCGCAGGCCGCGAGCGCGGGGAGGCAGTTCACCGTGGACCGCAGCGCCGGGCTCACGGTCGTGTTCGTGAACTTGCGGAAGTTGCCGAGCTCCGCGAGGTCCTCCGCCGGGTACGCGTGCGGCGGCAGCCTCAGGAAGTCGTGGACCTCGTCGAGCATGGCCTGGCGCCGCGTCTCCACCCGGAGGTCCTCCGACTGGAGCAGCAGGAACCGCTCCGGCGGGAAGAACTTCAGCCAGGCCTGAGCGCGAAAAGGGGGGCGTTCGAGCGCCGCGACGTCCGGGGAGGGGGGAGTCGAGCGCCGCGACGTCCAGGGGGGTTCGAAAGACGTGCTCTCGCGCGCGCGCCGCGACGTCCCCGAGAGACAACGCACCTCGAGCTTGTCGACGTAGCAGTTGTCGAGGAGGAGCTGCCGGAGCTTGCGCGGCATCGCGTTCGTGCCCGCCTCGAGCGAGTCCTGGAAGCGCGCGACCTTGTTCGACGCGAGCGGGTTCGACATGAAGCGGTCCGCGGGGGACTTGACGAGCACGAGGAACCGGAGGCCCGGCAGCCGCGTCGCGAGCCACGCCATCGTCCGCTCGCTCGCCGGCACGCCCATGTCGCCGCCGAGCATGGGCGTCGCGTCGAAGGTCGCGTCGCGCTGCGGCTCCTTGCGCGCCACGGGGAACTGGGACGCGTAGGCGGAGACGTCGCAGGCGCTGCCGTTGTTCGGCCCGTGCTGGAGGTCGCAGAACTCGGGCCGGTAGAAGTAGAAGTGCTCCTTGCGCGTGCCGAACGACGCGCGCGGGTGCCTGTTGAGGTACCGCGCCAGCGACGTCGTCCCGCAGCGGCCGAAGCCGATGATGAGGAAGCTCGGCGCGCAGAGCCGCTTGAAGCGCCGCCGGCTGCCGTCGGCCGGCGGCGGCACGCACCGCGGGCCGTAGGCGCCGGCGTCCGGGAGCTGAATGGTGGCGACGCGCTGGTCCTTTTGGAGCCGCATGGTCCACTGCGTCGCCTGGGCCGCGGCGAGCAGCAGGATCATTTGGCGTCGCATTTGTTTGTTGGGGCTAGCCCATGGGCATTACATCATCGTCGTCGCGCAGGGGCGTCCGCGTCCGTTTGTGTTTGTGGGTGCAGTATTGAACGGACGGCCCGAACTTGTGCAAAATGAGGTGCAGAAACAGCAGCTGCCCTTTGCCGACCCCCGGCCAAATTCTGCTGTGTTGGCGGGCTCGACCGCCAAAGAGACAGGGCTTGTTGGATCCGCCTCGCGTCGGCAACAGGCGAGCCATGAGGGGCCCGCCCGCCCTCGGGTGTTTCGGGGGCGTGCTCTGCCCCGCCTTCTCGTCGACCCCGGACGCCGCGCCGGCGAAAAAATCGGCCACGAAGGCCTTGAAATCGCCCCTGGAGGCCGCGGTGTCCGGCGAGGCTGAAAGTGCCCTCTTCGAAGACAACACTCTGCGCCGGTCCATCATCAGCCCGCGGGCGGGGGCCTACGCGAAGCCCCACGGGGACGTGAGCGCGTCGGAGCGGCGGGGCGAGACCGCGGGGTACCTCGGCGCGCGCCAGGCGCACGTGTCGGAGGACGGCGCGTCCGTCGAGGTGCCGCAGCACGAGACGCCGGACCAGTCGTCGGAGGACGACGAGGAGGCGACGGTGAGCGTCAAGGTCGGCGCGCCGAGCCACGAGGCCAAGGCCCCGCGCGCGGGCCCCGCGCCCGCGTGCCTCGGCCGCCTCTTCGAGCCGTCCGCCGGCGCGCGGAGCTCGACCAAGGGCTCGTGCCTGTCCAAGAGCCACAGCGCCTGCTCCCTCGTCTCGGAATCTTCCCTCGAGGAGTTCGAGGAGGACGCGAAGACGCTCGCGCGGGCCGCGTGCCCGACTAGGGTGACGTTCGACTTCGGCAAGAACGAGCGGCACGACATCCCGAACTTGGACGACTTCGGGTGGCGCTGCCGCCGCGAGTGCTACTGGCAGCCGGAAGAGTACGCGGCCATGTCCCAGAGCCGGCTCCGCCTCGAGCGCGCGGTGCTCGAGACGGGCGGCCGCGTGCCCATCCAGGGCGAGTCGCGCCGGGGCCTGGGCCTCGTCTGCGAGCCGGAGACGCGGCTCGCGCGCGCGTCGAAGATCCAGCAGACGTCCCGCGCCGTGCTCCGCATGCACGCCGAGGGCGCGTCCGCCGCGCGGCTCGCGCGCTTCGCGGCCGACGCGAGCAAGTGGGCGACGAACAACGCTTTGATCACCGCGGAGAAGGACTTGGACGCCGCGCGCGCGGCGCTGGCCGAGCCGCCGTCGGCGACGCCCAAGGTCCTGCGCACGACGCCGTCCGGCGCGCCGCCGCCGCCGCCGGGGCCGATGCCGCGCTGCGACTCGAACACGGCGTCGACGGACGGCCTCGCGTCGATGATCCGGAACGACTCGCTCAACAACATGGCGACGCTCGTCGAGGTGAGCCAGCAGAAGAGCCCCATCTCGGCCCTCGAGTCCTACAGCGCCTCGCGGACGCGCCACCGCATCGCGCCCGCCGCGGCCGCGTACCGCTGAATTTGAAGAACCACCGCCCCCCGTCGCCGCGCCCCCAAGGCCCGCCCCGGCGGCCCCGCCCCCTTCGAACCGACCCCGGCCCGCGCGCGCGCGCAGCGCGGCCCACACAAACACACACAAAAGCAACATACTTAACCTGTCGTGTACCGTTACTTATCGGGTCCGGACGACGCGCGGCGGGGACGACATACTTGTCGTGTACCGTCGAATTATTGCGTCCTCACGACGCGCAGCGGCGCCTCCGCGCCGAGGTCCCCGGCGTATTTGGCGACGTCGCCCCGGGGGATCTCCGTCGACGCGCGGCCGACGAGCGCGAAGAACTCGCCGAGGTCCCGGACCCGGCAGCCGTAGCGCTCCTGGATCGCGAGCCACGTCGCACACCCGCGCGGCGCGGTCGCGAGCGTCGCGGCGAGCTGCCGCCACGGCACCTCGCACTGCACCGAGTAGAGGAGGTCCGAGCCGACGACGACGTCGAAGGGGTCGTCCTCCGACGGCACCGGGTCGCCGAACGCGAGCGGCGCCACGCGGACGCGGTCCGCGACGCCGTTGAGCGCCGCGTTGGCCCGGATGAGCGGCAGGGCCTCGGGCAGGTCCGTGAGGGTCACCCGCGCCGTCGGGTACCGCAGCGCGATCCACAGGCCGACCGCGCCCGTGCCGGCGCCGAGCTCCAATATCCGCCGGCCCGCGAGGTCCGCGCGCGCGGGGTTCGCGGCGAAGAGCGCGCAGAGCGCGCGCGCGGCGCCCCAGCACACGCCGCCCTTGCAGGCGAGGTCCGCGCCCCGCTGCCGCAGCCGCACGGACGCGCCGCCCGCGACGAGCGCGGTCTCGGCGTCGCGCTGCGGGTCGCCGGCGTCGGAGCGCGGCGGCGGCTCGGCGTCGTCGGCGTCCGCATGCCACGGCGCCGCGGGCGGCGGCGCGAAGCCCGACGACTCGTCATCGGACTCGGAGCCGCTCGAGGACTCGGCGCCGAAGAGGGCGCCGAGCATGGGCGCGTCCACGCTGTCGTTCCTGCGCTCACTCATGGCTGCGGCAGCGCACTTCTTGCGGGACGACTACGTCATGCGGCGCAGGACGAGGTTAGACTTTGAGCATGCTGCCGCACATTCACATGTCCACAAGTGCATGCTGCAGAGAACGCCTCAGAGAGGGTGCAGGAGCCGCACGCGCGCTAAAAAAGCTATTGTCCAAGACCGCATCGACAAATTTCAGCTGCCGACCGCATCGGCAATTTTACCGGCAGCGCAGCGCGGCGGCCGGGGTGGACGGCGCCGCGCTGGAAAGTACCACAATCGAAAGATTACAGCTCCGCCTGCAGCGCGTCGAGGCGCTTCTTGTTCCGCTTCGCGATGATCCTCAGCGTCTTCTGCCGCTCGGGCTCCGTCATCTCGTGCCAGTTCGTGATGCGGCTCAGCGTGCCGTCCTTGTTCACGACCATGGGCCCGAGGGAATCGAGCTTCACGGGCAGGCCGTCGACCTCGACGGTCTCGGCGCCCGCGGCGGACGGGTTCGCGGCCTCGGCGGGGAGCGCGAGCGGCTCGTCGGTCGCCGGCGCCGCGTCGGCGACGGCCAGCAGCTCGCAGTCGTAGGCGACGTCGCCGCGCGCGGGCACCTTGCCCGCGAGGCCCGCCTCGCCGTACGCGTAGTCGAAGCGCACCTCGAAGCTCGCGCGCTCGCCGACGCGCATCGACGCGACGGCGACGTCGAGGCCGCGCACGTTGCCCGGCGCGCCGCAGACCCAGCGTTCCCGCGCCGCCTCGTGGAACACACCGGTACTCGAGCTCCGCGCCGTGTACGTGATCTCCGCGACCTGGCCGAGCACGGGCATGCGGCCCGCGCCGGCGCGGATGATCGACTTCATGACGCCGCCGTCCTGGCTCACGTCGAGGAGCTCGATGGCCGCGGCCATGCTGATGATGCAGAGATGCGCAAGGCGCATGTATGTCGCCGCTGTGGCGCGGCGTGTTGCAGCGCGCAGCAGCAGCGCGCGCGCAGGCAAGGAGCGCTGTGGCGCGGCGCGTTGCAGCGCGCAGCAGCGGCGCGCGCGCAAGCGAGCGCCGAGAGCAGGAGTGAGAGAGATGAGAGCAGGTCTCCCTAGGCGCCTACGGTGACGGCACAAATCATGCTCGATGGTGATACTTCACCGAAACGAAACGGGCCTGCCAGAGACGGACACCGCCGCCGCCGTCGTACGCCGCCGCGCGCGTCGCCGTCGTCCTTTGGCGTCCATCGACTGCCTCCGCTGCCGCGACCGCAGCGGCTGCGAGCGGTCCACGGCGCCGCACCCATGGGCCAGGGCTACGGCAAGGTCTTCGGCCCGCTCATGAGCCCGGAGGTGAAGCCGCTGACGGAGCTGCACATCAGCGACATCCGCAAGGCGCACAGCGTCTACATCAACCTCGAGGTGCAGCCCGGCGTGAGCAGCCCCCAGTTCGCGCAGATCTTCGGCTGCCTGCGCACGGCGGACCGCACCAAGGTCTTCAAGTTCTTCGCCAGGGACTCGGCGCACCGCCGCGTCGACGTCAACGAGATTTTAGCCGTGGCGATCCTGACGGCGACGGCGTTCGTCTCCGTGAAGACGCGCGTGCTCTTCCAGCTCTACGATCTCGACGACTCCATGGACCTGAGCCTCTCGGAGGCGGTCATGATGCTCGGGTCCGCGGTTCGGGGCCTCTCGCGGTGCACGGACGGCGCGAAGCCGTCGGCCCACGAGGTCGAGCTCTTCTGCGCCGAGCTCTTCAAGAAGATCGACATGGACGCCGACGACCGCGTCACGGAGGAGGAGTGGTCGTCCGCGTGCGCGCGGAACCCCGTCGTCCGCGCGTGCCTCGCGGGGCGGGAAAAGGGTGCGACATTCCCAACTTCAAAGGCTCTGATCTCGGCCGTTTTCCACTCGTTTCGGCTGATTTTTGGACGAGCGATCATCTCTCGGAACGGCCTCGACGCGTGGGCGCTTTTCCCCGGAACGCGCGCGCGCGGAACGCTCACGTTGAATCACCCTTTTCCCGCCCAGGTGCCTCAACCGGTTCTGCCGCCGCGACTCCGCGTTCCGCGGCACCGTGCGGTCCAGCGCCGCCGGCGCGCACCGGCCCACGCGGCCGTCGGGCGTGCGCAAGGGCGCGCGGCCCGGCGGCAAGGGCAAGAAGAAGCTGCGCCACGTCGCGAAGCGGCGGCGGAGCGGCTTGCCGCCGAACGCGGTGGTCATGCGGAACGTGAAGCGCGAGGTGCGGCTGCTCCGCGAGACCTTCGAGGCCATCGACGAGGACAACAACCAGGAGATCGACATCAACGAGTTCCTGAAGACGCACGCGATCCCCGCGGGCGGCGGCCCGAAGCCCGTGCGCAACCGGCGCGGGTCCATGGACGACCCCGAACAGGCCCAGGGCAACTTTAGCGCGGAGCAGTCGGAGTGCGGCCGCTTCAACACGATCAACGTCCAGCCCGCGCGCAAGGTCATCCCGCCGACGATCCTGAAGATGTTCATGCAGATGGACGAGGACGGCGACGGCAAGATCACGTGGGTCGAGATTCTGCGCGTCATGTTCGCGTCCTACGGCAAGGCCGTCGTCGACGAGATCATCTCCTGGCCCATCGACGAGTACAAGAAGCTGCCGCGGGCCAACGTCGAGGAGGCGACGCCCGTCCACATCGACGTGTCCCACGAGTCGGACCTGAAGCAGCTCTTCGAGGTCTACGACGGGGCAGGACAAGAGAGCGAAATTCCCAACTTCAAAGGCTCATATCTCGGCCGGTTTCCACTCGTTTCGGCTGATTTTTGGACGAGCGATCATCTCTCGGAACGGTCTCGCAGCGTGAATGCTTTTTCCGGAACGCGCGCGCGCGGAACACTCACGTTGAAGCGACGTTGAATCACCCTTGTGCTGCCCAGGTCTACGACAAGCGCGGCCGCGGCGACATCCCCATCTTCTACCTCGCGAAGCGCATGTCGGAGCTCCACGACCTCGACGAGGCCGACCTGCTCCACATCTTCGAGACCGCGGGCCAGGAGCCCCGGGACCTCGTCGACGCGGACACGTACGTCGAGCTCATCAAGTTCCTCCTCGCGGGCGACTCGTCGATGACGTCCGTCATCGACCTCCTCAAATTGCAGAGCTAACGGGCCGGGGTTGGTTTTTGGGAAGGGGGGTCGGGGGGCTCGTGTCGGGCCGTGGCGGGCGTCGACGGCCGACGCCGACGACGCGCTTGCCGACGTCGACGCCGCGGCCGTCGGACGACGACGCCGTCCAATCAGCGTTCACGCCGCTCGCTCGAGATCGAGCTCGGAGCTCGTTGCTCGAGCAGTCGAGGGCCAGGAAATCTCGCCTCTCGCGCCGTCGCGCTCCCTGCACGATGGCCGTGTTCCTGAGCAACGACGCCTTGGTGGGCCGCTTGGTGCCCGGCCCGACGATGGAGCGCGGCCACGCGCTGAACCTCTACGCGCATCCCAAGGAGCCCAAGCTCGTCTACTGCTTCGGCAAGTACGTCGTCGCGCGAAATTTGAACGACAGCGGCGACAACTTCGTCTACCGCGGCCACAAGTACGACGTCGGCGCCGCGGCGTTCAGCCCCAACGGCTACTGGGTCGCGTCGGGCGACGCGGGCGGCTTCCTCCGCGTCTGGAGCTGGGACAACCCGGAGCACGTCCTCAAGGTCGAGGTCCAGGTCTTCGCCGGCGCCATCAAGGACCTGCAGTGGGACGGCGAGTCGAAGAAGATCGTCGTCGTCGGCGACGGCAAGGGCGTCGTCGCCAAGTGCGTCATGTGGGACACGGGCAACGCGGCGGGCGAGATGGTCGGCCACAGCAAGAAGGCCATCACGTGCGCGTACCGCCAGGCGCGGCCCTTCCGCATCATGACGGGCTCCGAGGACTTCAAGTGCGCCTTCTACAAGGGCCCGCCCTTCAAGCTCGACCACACGTGCGCGGAGCACAAGAACTACGTCAACAAGGTCGCCTATTCGCCGTCCGGCGATTTCGTCGCGTCCGTGGGCAGCGACAAGAAGATCGTCCTCTACGACGGCAAGGAGGGGACCGTCGCCGGCGAGCTCAAGGGCGACGGCAAGGCGCACCCGCAGGGGTCCGTCTACTCGTGCGCGTGGGCGCCCGACTCGTCGAAATTGCTGACGGCGTCCGCGGACAAGGCGCTCCACCTCTGGGACGTCGGGGCCAAGAGCCTCGTGGCGACCAAGGCCATGGGCGCGGACGTCGCGGACATGCAGATGGCCGCCGTCTGGGTCCACGGCCAGGCCATGTCCGTGTCGCTGTCGGGCGACGTGAACTACCTCGACGAGGCGCTGAACGTCACCAAGGTCGTCCAGGCGCCCCAGGCGCCCGTGAGCGCCATGGCCGTCGTCGGGTCCACGATCGTCGCCGGCTGCAACGACGGCACGGTGTTCAAATCGACGGACGCGAAGAGCTGGACGAAGCTGGACGGCGCCGTCCCGCGGTCGCACGTCCGGGCCGCGCACGGGGGCAAGGTCACGGCCGTCGCGGCCTTCGGCGGCGGCTTCGCGACGGCGGGCTTCGACGACACCGTGCGCTTCTGCGACGGCGCCGCCTACGACGCCGAGGTCAAGGTCGACGGCCAGCCCAAGGGCCTCGCGGCGCTCGGCGGCGACAACGTCGCCGTGGCGACGACGAAGGGCCTCGCGATCGTGTCCAAGGGCGCGACCTTCGCGGGCGTCGTCAAGTTCGAGGCCGTGGCCTGGGACGCGACGGCGTTGGCCGCGGCGCCCGACGGGTCCAAGTTCGCCGTCGGCGCCAAGGACGGCGCGATCCGCGTCTTCGACGCGTCGCTCGCGGAAGTCGCGGCGCTGCCGCCCCAGCGCGGCGAGATCACGTCCCTCGCCTGGTCGCCCGACGGGTCCAAGCTCGCCGCCGGCGACGCGGACCGCGAGATCAAGGTCTACGACGCGTCCGCGGGATTCGCCGTCGTCGTCCAGAACCTCTGGCGGTTCCACACCGCGCGCGTGACCGCGCTCGCGTGGTCGCCCGACTCCATGTTCCTCGCGTCGTCGAGCAACGACGAGTCCATCTTCTACTGGTCCCTCGCGAACCCGCAGAAGAGCGCCCACAAGTACGACTTCACGCACAAGGACGGCACGACGGCGCTCGCGTTCCTCGGAGGGAACGTCGTCTCCGCGGGCAACGACGCGTGCGTCTGCCTCTGGACCGTCTAGGGAGACCATTAAGACGCGCCGCTATCGAGGAGGTCCTTGACGTACTCGAAGGTCGCGAAGGAGATCCCGACGGACGGCGCGGCCTTGGCGTAGTTCGGCCCGAGGCCCCGGTACAGGTTCAACGGCATCGTCCAGTCGCGCGTGATCGCCCGGAGCGTGCCCGCCATCGTCGTCTCCAGCGTGCCGCCGCCGCGCACCTTCAACGTCGCGACCTGCAGGTTGCGGCGCACGGTGTCGAAGGGGAAGGCCACGGTCATGCCGCAGACGCCCGCGGCCGCGCCGCACGCGACCTTTGTGAGGGGGTGGACCTCGCCCCGGTCGTCGAGGCCGACGCCGCGCTCCCGGCATCGCCGCTTCAGGATGTCGAAGATGGCGAAGTCGATGCCGATGTAGGGGATGATGCCGCAGAGCGACGGCAGCAGGCCTCGAAACAACCCGCGGACGCCCTCGGCGCGCGCGAGGTTCGCCATGTTCCGCAGCAGGCCGTTGTCGACCTCGCCCCGGAAGTCCACCGTGCGCCGCGCGCGCATGAGGTCGATGGGGTAGGTGCACGTCGTCGACGTCGCGCCGGCGAGGCCGCCGGCGACCATCAATTGCCACGCGCGGAGCGGCTCGCCGTCGTCGCCGAACAACGTCCGCTTGTAGAGCGCGTACGTCGCGAACTGGATGGCGCTGCTGGGCACGACGCGCACGCAGTTGAGGCCGTTGCCCCGCCAGAGGCCGCGCACGCCGTCCTTGACGACGAGGTCGCCGAGCGACCGCAGGATGCCGCTGTGCCGCACGGGCCGGCCCCCGGCCGAGATGCCCTGGACCTGAAACAAGATCTTCAGGCGCTCCAAGGGAGCCACGGCCGTGCGGCTGCAGGCGCCGGCGACGCCGCCGGCGGCCAGCGTGCTCAGCCAGCGCTCCTCCGTCGCCGCCGGCGTCGTCTCGTTGGTGGTATCGGCGTCGCCGTCGTCGTCGACGTACTCGAGGACCTCGACGCCGGCGAGCTTCGGATCGAAGGCGAGGCGCGTGTCGCGGCGTCTCGCGATGGACAGTTCGGGCGAGTGGACGTCCGGCGGCCGCGACTCCGGCTCGCGCCGCCGTCGTCGTCGCTGTTCATCGTGGTCTGGATCTACCATTTGCTTTGATCTCAGGGATTAGCCATCCAGACGACCATCGCTTGCCCGGGCGGTGGATCCGGTTTTTGGTGAAGTCCTCGTTGCCGCTCACAAAGGCGATCGATGGCCGAGTTGTCTCCGTCAGAGTCTCTGCAACCGGCGACGCGAGCGACGGGCCGCAGGTGATGTCGCACTTCCCGGCCCCCGCGGCGCCCCGGCGCACGCCCTGCAACATCATCACGGGCCCGCTGGGCGCGGGCAAGTCGAGCGCCATCGTCAACCTCCTGGCCAACCACAGCGACGGCAACTGGGCCGTGCTCGTCAACGAGATCGGCGACGTGGGCATCGACGGCGCCATCGCCAAGTCGTCCGGCGCCGACGGGTCGGCCATGGTCGCGGAGATCGCCGGCGGCTGCATCTGCTGCGCGAACGGCGTCGCCGCCACGGTCACGATCACGCGGCTCCTGCGGCGGAAGCCGAGCCGCCTGCTCATCGAGCCGAGCGGCCTGGGCCACATCGACGAGCTCGCGGAGGTGCTCTGCAAGGCGCCGCTGAGCAACGCCCTGGAGCTGCGCGGTTTGATCTGCATCATCGCCTGCGACCGCCACGCGCGTCTGTGGGAGGCGGGCGAGAACTACCGCGACATGGTCCACGCGTCCGACGTCTTGGTGTTGAACCGCCGCGACGTCGACGAGGCGAAGACCGTCGACGTGGAGCACTGGGCGCGCGAGCTCTACCCGCCGAAGGCGGTGCGCGCGGGGACCCGCGGCGCGTTCGCGCCCGATTTGCTCGAGGTGAAGCGCTTGGAGCCGCTGCCGGACCACGACGACTGCGACGAGGACGAGAACCGCGCGGGCAGCCGGTCGACGTGGACCCACGTCGACGGCGTCGTGCGCACCGTGGCGGCGCGCGACGGCCACGCGTTCGTCGGCCTTCGGTGGCCGAAGAATTCTCGGCCCTTCGACGACGCGGCGCTCGCCGCGGCGTGCGCGGCGACCGTCGCGCTGCCGGGCCTCGAGCGCTTCAAGGGCGTCTTCTACGTCAAGACGCGCGGCTGGGTCCTCGTGCAGTGGGTCCGCGGCGACGCCGCGGGCACGTCGGAGCCCATCTCGCGGTCCGCGGACGCGCGGCTCCAGACCATCTTCGCGGGGCCGCCCCTCCCGCCCGCCGCCGTCGCCGCCCTCGAGCAGCGCTTCTTCGCGGCGCAACTAACCGCCTAGGTCAGTTTGACGTATTTCCGTGACTCCCACGGTCCGCCGCTAGGTTACTTCGACGATCGCGTCGTCGCCGCGGTAGAGCGCCGCGGCCGCGTCGTAGGCGCGCGTGAAGTCGGCCCGCGAGACGTCGTAGCCGCGGAGGAGCGGGGCGAGCGCGCGGTACGCGTAGCCCTCGTCGATCGTGAGGCGGTCGAAGGACAGGTAGACGTGGGGGATCTCGTAGTCGAGCAGGTACGTGTGCAGGTGGACCATGTCGTCCGCGTCGATCTTCTCCTGGCGCTCGCGCGCGACGTCGGCGGCCTCGTCGCCGTACGACGCGGGGAAGTAGGCCGCGTAGAACTTCGTGTAGAGCCCGCCGCCCGCGGCGCCGCGGACCGCGCGGCTCTTCGACACCGCGCCGAGGTCGCGCAGCGGCACGATGACGAAGCTCAGCGTCGACGCGAGGTACGGCCACGTGAGGTGCTCCTGCGCGCCGACGCGCAGGTCCTTGCGGATGATGAACCACATGCTCTTCAAAATGCGCGCCGCGCTGCGGAAGGGCCGCTCGAAGGACTCGCCCGCGGCCTCGCCCGCGTCGAAGCCCGTGTCGAGGCCGAGGAGCGCGAAGATGCGCATGAGAAACGTCGTCGCTGCGCGGCCCGTGCCTACCGAGGGTTGCTTCTCGTTTCCCGGCGAGCGTCGCGCGAAACAGCGCGCCCGTCGCTCGACGCCGGGCCTTTACCGGTCACGAGCACCTTGCAGCGTTTCGGCGCCGCGGCGCCGAGGTGGACCGTGCCCGCGCAGGCCGGCTCCTCGCCGCCGATCGAGAGGCACGTCGCGCGCCGCGCCGCGAAGGCCTTGCGCAGCTTGTTCGTGAAGCAGTCCTTGAACGGCGCGCTCGCGCCGTCGCAGTCCGCCGCGACGCTGCCGTAGAACTTCAGCAGCGCGCCCTCGTCGTAGTGGTCGACGACGCGGTCCAGCACGTTGCGGACGATGGACGCCAGCTCGTCGTCGTCGGCGCCGTCGTCGAAGACGGCCTCGTGGCGCACGCCGTCAAAGTCCAAGCGGAAGTTGCACGGGGCGGCGGCCGCGACGGCGACGAGCAGCGCGACGCGGCAGATCATTGCCGCGGCGGCGCATCGGGCTGCGACGAGCACGACAAGCAGGATGCCTCGACCATCGTGGGCTGCCGCGCGCGAAGCGCTCGCGAGCCGCGCGCGATTTCTCCGGCAGGGTGGACGAGCTCGCGGTCAATCGGACGCGCGCGCGACCAGGTGAGCAACTGCGCCGCGCGACTGTTTCGCGCACTTCCTGCGGCCGGGGCGGCTCGCGCAAGACCGCGCGCGAAACGACGGGGGGCCGCGCCGCGCCGACGCGCGCCGCCGTCGGCGAGCGCGAGCGCTTTTAGGTAGACCATGGCGCGCCGCTACGACCGGAACGTGACGACCTTCTCGCCCGAGGGGCGGCTGCACCAGGTCGAGTACGCCGTCGAGGTGCGGCCCCCGGCGTTCTTTCCTCGGCCGCTCCCGCGGCGCGCGGCGACCGCGCGTTTCCGCAGGCGATCAACAACGCGGGCACGGCCGTGGGCCTGCTGGCGACGGACGGCGTCGTCATGGCCGGCGAGAAGCAGAAGGTGACGAAGCTCCTCGAGCCGCCGAAGAGCAGCGAGAAGATCTACAAGCTCGACGACCACGTCGCGTGCGTCGTCGCGGGGCTGACGGCCGACGCGAACATCCTCATCAACGAGGCGCGCGTCGCGAGCCAGCGCTACACCTACCAGTACGGCGAGGCCATCCCCGTGGAGCAGCTCGTGGAGAAGGTCTGCAACCACAAGCAGCTCTACACGCAGTACGGCGGCCAGCGGCCCTTCGGCGTGAAATTCCTCTTCGCGGGCTACGACGACCACTTCGGCTACCAGCTCTACCTCAGCGACCCGAGCGGCAACTACAGCGGCTGGAAGGCGACGTGCATGGGCCAGAACGCCAACTCGGGCCAGTCCCTGTTGAAAAACGAGTACGACGAGACCATGGACGCCGCCGCGTGCGTCAAGCTGAGCCTCAAGGTCCTCAACAAGACCATGGAGTCCCTCAGCGCCGAGTCCATCGACCTCTTCGCCCTGAAGCGCAAGGACGACGGCTCCCTCGTCCACACGGTCTACCCCCACGACGTCGTCACCAAGCTCCTCGACGAGGTCAAGGCCGAGCAGGAGGCCGCGGACGCCGAGAAGGAGAAGCTCGCCGTGTCGTCCTAGGGGGCGGAGGAGGGCCCGTTCGCCTATAAAGGACCGCCTTCTCTCGGAGCGTGCACGTCTCCTGCGGTCTTTTCCGAGTCGCGCCGGCGCGGCCGCGGCGGTGACGCGCGCGTTGAGCGCGCGCGCGTCAGCCGTCTAGGGAACACCGCGCGGGTTGTTGCGCGGTCGCTGCGAGGGCGGCGAGGTTCTACAATACTCGAGACAGGAAGCCTTCGACGGCTTGTCCATTAGTTCAACATCGACCTTCGCCAAAAGGAAAGATCATCTGCCACAATTTTAAATGAATCTCACGCAGCCCTGGAAGCGACACGCCGCCCTGTGCTTGGTTGGGAACGCAGGACTGTTGGCGGGCGCGGCCGCGGGGGCCGCGGGGGGCTCCCGGCCGACGCCATGGCGCCCCAGAGCCCGGAGGAGGAGAAGTACGACCTCATCAACCTGAAGACGCGCGTGCTCGAGGACGCGGGCACGTCCATGCCCGACTTCGAGAAGGTCTACTGCATCCCCGAGGGGGACGACTGGGAGTTCGAGAACGTGCTCGGCCGCTTCTCGCGCGTCTCCGGCGCGAAGCGACACGCGCGACCCGGACCCCGACGCGCGCGACCCCGCAGGCGCGCGCGGCGCGGCGACGCGAAGACGGCGTACGCGTTCCTCAAGGCGGACTACGACTGGCGCGTGGAGCACGGCGTCGCGGCGCTGCGGACCCAGTCGCCGGCGGAGGTGCTGGGCTGCGACCCGCGCGTGTTGTCCCAGTACTACGAGCGGCGGCTCCTGGGCGTCGACGCGCACGGGCGGTTGTGTTTGTACCAGGGCTACAAGAACATGCTCGCGCGCGAGCTCAAGAAGCACGTGCCCCTCGAGAAGGTGACGCGCTTCCACATCTGGGAGCAGGAGCGCGCGGCGGCGATCATCGACGAGCTCGTGCGGACGCGGCGGCGCCGCGGCGGCCGCGGGCCGCCGATCCAGCCGAAGATGGCCGTCATGCTCGACGTCTCGGACATGACGATCTCGCGCCACGTCAACTCCGACTTCCTCTACGTGGTCAAGACGCTGGCGAACTACGACCAGAACCACTTCCCCGAGCGCATGGGCACGACCTTCATCATGAACGCGCCGTCCGTCTTCGGCATGGTCTGGCGCATCGCGACGCCCGGGGCGGGAAACGGGTGGTTTGAGGTCGCTTCGACGTGAGTGTGCCGCGCGCGCGCGCGCCAGGAAATGTGTCGACGCGTCGAGACCGCTCCGAGAGATGATCGCTCGTTCAAAAATCAGCCGAAACGATGGGAAAATGGCCGAGAGAGGAGCCGACATGTCGCACGCTTGTCCCGCCCAGGTCAAGCCGTGGCTCGACGCGCACACGGTGAAGAAGATCCACATCGTCACGGACAAGGAGGACTGGCGCACCATCGTCGCCGCGAAGCTCGGCGACCCCATCATGCAGAATTTAGCCGACGAGGTCCAGCTCGACGAGGCCGTCAACGACCCGGCGGACGACCTGAACCACTCCGTCAAGGACGTCGCGGCGGCGCTGCTGGAACGTCTGGGCGGCGCCGAGGAGGTCAAGGAGGAGGACGACGCGCCGCCGTCGACGCCCAAGGGCCAGATCCGCCCGAGCTACGCGGACTCGTCGTTCGTGACCGTCGAGCGCGGCGACGACGACAGCGACGACGACCACTTTCTGGACGCGCGGAGCCCGAAGCTCACGTCCAAGGAGGCGAAGAAGGAGCTGCTCCTCCTCGACTCGCTGGCGTCGGGGCGGTCCGCGGGCGACCTGGCGAAGGCGCTCCAGCGCCTCGTCGTCGTGCAGATGGGCGCGACGATCGCGCTGTGCTGCCCAGGGCAGCAAAAGGGTGATTCAACGTCGCTTCAACGTGAGTGTTCCGCGCGCGCGCGTTCCGGAAAAAGCATCCATGCTTCGAGACCGTTCCGAGAGATGATCGCTCGTCCAAAAATCAGCCGAAACGAGCGGAAAACGACCGAGATAGGAGCCTTTGAAGTTGGGAATTTCGCACCCGTTTGCTGCCCAGGTGCTGCCTGAGCCTGCTCGCGCTGCTGGACACGAACATCGCCTGGGACCCCCACGTGCCCGCCGTCGGGTTGCTCCTCGCGGCGATGACCGTGCCCTTCGGGGCCATCGGCTACTCGGGCGCGGCGCGGCGGAACCCGGGCGTGCTCAGCGTCCACCTCGCGTGCATGTCCGCGCTGAGCGGCGCCTTCCTGATTCTGGCCGTGGCGAGCCTCGAGGTCGCCGTCGGCGCGTCGGACGGCTACTTCTTCTCGCGGGCCGCGCGCGCGTCCGTGCGCCAGCACAACCTCGCCGTCGGCGTCGCGTCCGTGGGGCAGCTCGTCGTGGGGCTGCCCCAGTGCGTCGCGTCGCTGCTGCTGCGGCGGCGGCTGAGCGCGCTGCTGACGCGGCGCGGCGCGTCCGACGACGTCGCGGACCGGCGCTTCGCGCTGAAGACGTGCTCCGTCGTGCTCTGCCTGTTGGGCCTCGTCGGTTTGTCGTACTCGTCGGCCGTCGTGTCGTACTTCGTGCGCCAGCACCTCGGCGCCGCGGCCTTCGCGCCCTACATGCTGCTGGAGGGGTCCATCATGCTCCTCGTCGTGGCGGCCTTCAGCCGCTGGTGCTCCGCGGAGGCGATGATGAACGTCGACGTCATCCGCTGGTACTGCGCGCTCGCGCGGACGACGGCGGCCTACTTCTGCGTCGCCTTCGCCGTCGCCGTCGTGACCCTGCTGTCCATCGGCGCCAAGGCGACGCGCGGCGGCCGCGAGCGCACGTCCGTGACCGCCAAGGCCACGGGCCTGCTCCTGCTGCTCGCGACGTTCGACGCTTTGATCGCGTCGACGCTCCTCGTGTCCGTGCGCGCGGCGCAGACGCTGCTCATCGCCCGGGAGCTCATGGCCGCGGAGAAGATGATGGCGCGCCGGGGCCGGCCGCGGTCGTCGAGCGCGGAGAAGAAGCGGCCGAACTCGCCGCTGCGCGCCGCGCTGCGCCTCGTCGCGTCGCCGTCGCTCATGTCCGACGCGGACGACGTCATCCCCGACGACGCGGACGAGGAGGCCGTCGCGACGGCGCGCTTCGAGGACGAGGACGAGGACGATCTCGAGCAGGTGCCCCTGACGGACTACGAGCGCGGCGCGATCTGCTGGGCGCTCTTCACGGGCCTCGTGCACATCTTCATGGACGGCACGTTCGCCATCTTCAGCCACCTCGTGCGCTTCACCAACGACCGGGGCCGGCTCCAGCGGCCCTGGTTCGTCGAGCTCTGGCACCTCTGGGGCAAGGTCGACGCGCGCTACCGCCGGTCCGACTCGTTCATCGTCGTCCAGGTCGGCGCGATGGCGCTCGTCGCGGGGCCCGCGTGCCTCGTCTTCGCCTGGGCGACCTTCGAGCGCAAGGTCTACCGCCACGCGCTGGGCATTTTGATCGCGACGGCCCAGGTCTGGACGCTGGTCCTCTACGTGGCGACGGAGGCGCACGCGGGCTTCCAGGACTGCGCGCCGCGCGACGACTTTTTATTCTTCTGGGTGCTCTTCATCCTCACGTCCATCATCCGCTTCCTCCTGCCCCTGCCCGTGCTCGCCGGGTCCATCAAGGGCATGCTCCGGGACGCCGAGTTCCACCGGCGCTGGCACCTCCAGTACCGGAAGCTGTCCACGTCGGAGCGGAAGCGCGCGCTCGAGATGGAGCCCGCGCTCGACGACCCGCTCTGAGGAGCTCTTTTTTAATAACGGGCGAGGTGCGTGCTTAGTTCGCGGTCGGGCGGGCGGTCGAGGGCAGCGGGACGGCGGTCGGGGCCGCGGACGGGGCGGTCGGGGTCTTGGACGGCGCGGCGGTCGGCGCGGCGGCGGTCGGCGCGGCGGTTTTCTTCGCGGCGCGCTCCGCGCGCTCGCGGCGGTTCCGCGCGGAGGGCGGCTCCGCGTCGAGGGCGCCGAAGTGCGTGAGGAGGACGGCGATCTTGTTCATGAGGCCGTTGGCCCAGCCGTTGAGGATGCAGAAGTTGCAGTTGAACTCCTCGTGGTGCTTCTGGTGCGCGTCCGGGTGTAAAATCACGCGCCAGTCCTGGAGCTTCTCCAGCAGGGGATAGTCCTTCAGCAGCCCGCGGTTGCGCGCGTGGGCGAGGAAGTGGGTCTGCTGGCTCGGCAGGCCCACGATCAGCGCCGTGAGCCAGACCCGGCTCGTGGCCTCGGGCGCGTAGCCGTAGTGATAAGCTAAGAAGAACAGCGGCCAGACGACGCGGACGTACCAGAAGAGCTGCATGAAGAGCTCGAGCTGCGAATCGCTCGACGGGAACACGGCCTCGTGGTGGCTGTGGAAGTTCCACAGGTATTGGTCGTGCTCGTCGGCCTCCGTGAAGAGCGCCGTCTCCTCGAAGGCCTTGACGCCGTCGACGGTAGTTTCCACGTGGAGCCGCAGGGCGTCGTTATTCACGGTCTGGAAGTCGAGGAGCATGTGGATGAGGCCCGTCACGAAGTCGGCGACGTAGAGGGCCAGCAGGAACTCCACGACCGTGCGCGTGCAGAGGTAGGCGTAGCCGTCGCCGCCCCCCGTGAGGCCCCCGCCGATGACGGCGCCCGCCGTCTCGATGACGACGCATGCGATCGCGAAGCCCGTGACGCCCGTCAGCCCCAGCTTCACCGTCGTCTCCACCGAGCCCCACATTCAGCAAGGGCAGCCCATTTCTTGCTGATGGGCGGACCAGCTGCAACCGTGCCGAGCCAGCGCGCTCTTCGGTGTGTGAGGCAACATTGACTTCAATCTCTCGAAGCTGCACTTCAGATCTGCTGCTTGCTCTGCATGCGCTAAGAGAGCGCACAAACCAGCTGCAGCGTCACCGCATGCTGCAGCAGCGCTGCCAGACGCGTTCCGCAATTCGAGCCGTGCGTGCATGCGGTCTCCTGCTAATCGCTGCGGCTTTCAGAGCTCCTGCGTTGCGAGCGCGGCCAATACTCCTGCAAAGGCATCGCGTCGCGCGGTTCGCGGGCGACGCGCCGCCGCCGCCGCCCGCGCTCCTCCCGGTGTTCCTGCAGCGGCGCTGGCGGCGCGCGCTCGGCTGCGAGGTCTGCGGCGACGCGCGCGCGGTGCCGTGCCCGAGCTGCGACGGCGCGGGCGGCTACGAAGCCGCGGGCGGCGTCGCCGTCGCCTGCCCGAGCTGCCGGTCCACGGGCCGCGTCGTCTGCCGCGCCTGCTTCGTCGGCGACGGCTACGACATCGACAAGATCCGGAGGGATATGGGCTACCCGGACTAGAACGCGGAGGAGACCCGGATTAAGTATGCTCGACGGGGGCGGGGACTTTTTCGCGCGCCGGGCTCTCACCGGCTCGCGACGGCGACCTTGGGCGGCGCGGCGAGGGACCGGAGCGCCCCGGAGTCGGCGAGCGCGGCGGAGCCCGGGCCGCAGAGCTCCTTGTAGAGCTCGAGCGCGTGGAGGCAGTCGCCGACGGAGACGTCGTTGAAGACGCCCGCGGTGCCGACGCCCGTCGGGAGCGGCAGCCGGATGCCCATGGAGAGCTGGAAGCGCTCGTGGTAGGCGTGCTCGACGAAGTCCGGCGTCATCATGTCGTGCCAGATCGGGCAGCCGAACGCGTCGAGCGCGCGGAGGATCCGGAGCATCTCGTCGCGCTCGACGAGGCCCAGCGTGTGCGCGAGCACGGTCATGTAGGCCATGTCGACGTTGACGGCCTCGCCGTGCGTGAGCTCGACGTCCGTGCCGAGGGCGTGCATCTCGAGCTCCTGGCCGAACGCGTGCCCGAAGTCGACGAGGCGGTCGAGCGACGACTCCCACAAATTCGGCGCGAGCTCCTCGAGCATGGTCGCGATGGAGAGCTGGAGCACCTCCCCGGGCACGGCGTCGTCGCCCTGGAAGCGCGTCGCCACGAGGCGGCCCGCGTGGGCCTCGAGCAACTCGAAGAGCCGCGGCGACTTCATCAACGCCATCTTCATCATCTCCGACACGCCCGACGCGACGGCCCGCGGCTCCTCCGTCGCGAGGAAGGCCCGGTCGAGGAGCGCGGCGACGGGCGGCACGTAGGCGCCGAGGCGGTTCTTCGAGCCCATGAAGTTGACGCCCGATTTCGCGCCGATGGACGCGTCGACGTAGGACAGCGTCGTCGTCGGCACGCGGACGTAGGGCGACTTGCGGCGGAAGAGGGACGCGGCGAGGCCGATGACGTCGAGGCAGACGCCGCCGCCGATGCCGATGACCGGCGACCCGCGCCGCGGCATGTCGAATTTCTTCATCGCCTCGCAGACCTTGAGCACGAGGTCCATGGACTTCTCCTCCTCGACCATGGGCAGGCGCAGCACCGTGTAGTCGACGCCCCGGGCCTCCATGTAGTCCACGACGCCGGACCCGTAGAGGTCGTCGACGGTCTCGTCGATGACGACGAGGCGCCGCTGCGCCGTCCGCGCGGCCGCCGCGCGCTCGGGGCTGCCCGCGGCGAGGTGGCCGAAGAGCAGGTTGTCGTTGGCCGGGTCGAGGAGGCCCGGCGCCTCGACGACGGCGTAGTCGAAGGTCACGTGGCTGCGCACGCTCCAGGCCTTGGCCGCGCCGCCCGCGTCCGCCGCGTCGATGCGCGCGGGCGACAGCCGCGCGTCGGAGTGGAGGGCCCGGTCGCCGTCGGCGATGGTCGTCCACGTGTCGCCGACGAGGGCGAGGTTGCCGGGCTTGGGACCCGCGGGCGCCGGCGGCAGGGGCAGGATGTTGTGCTTCGCGGCGCGCACCTCGGCGACGTCGGAGGCGAGCACGTCGCGCTGCGACGGCGGCCGCTGGCTCCGCGCGCCGCCGGGCTGGAGGGCGGCGTGCGGCGCGAGCTGCAGGGCCAGGAGCGCGCACGCGAGGATCGACGACATGGTGCGCTGGCTGGGGTGCGTATAGGGGTCAGGGTGTTTGGTTTCCCGCGGGGCTGCCTGAAGTTTATAGCTCAGAGCTGCCCGAAGAAGAGAAGGGGTACGCCAGAGATATATTTGAGATGAAGCGGACAAGTCAGCGCGGCTGAAGTTTGGGCGTAGTCAACTTCAGCGGCGAAGAGTGAAGTGAAGACATCTGAGTGGCAGCCCGCGATTTGAGGTGGCCGGCGCGTACGTAAAGTCCGAACAAAAGCATTCCCAAGCAGCACCACCCCGTCCAGTCAGCGACCACCATGTGCGAGGGCCCCACCGTCGTCAAGGAGCAGCACCGCGCCAAGGAGCAAGCCTCGAGCATCTTCGGCATCCGCGCCGCCGAGACCGTCGCGCGCGCCGCGCTGCCCGAGACCCTCGCGGAGATCGAGGCGCCCGTGCCGGACACGCCCAGCGAGCGCCTCGCGGCGCTCATCGACGAGGTGCGCCTCCCGCCTCGCGCCCCGCGCGCGCCGCCGCGCCGCGCGCGCGCCGCCGCCTCCTCCGCGCGCGCGCCGACGCGCGGCGCTCGCAGGCCGGCGCGCTCGTCCACGGCCAGGAGGAGTACCTGCTCAAGTGCACGTCGCCGCCGTCGGCGGCCGCCGCGGCCCTCGAGGCGAAGACGCGGGCCGCGGACTGGAAGGCCCACCACGCCGCGGGCGAGACCAAGTTCCTCTTCAGCGACTGTTGGACGACGGACGTCGTGGAGGCGAAGACGCTCGCCATGTTCGCGGCCATGCTCAAGGCGCGGCGCGTCCTCGAGATCGGCATGTTCACGGGCTACGGCGCTTTGACCATCGCCGAGGCGCTCCCCGCCGACGGCGAGATGATCACCTTCGAGATCGACCCGTTCCTCGAGCGCTTCGCGCGGCCCGTCTTCGACGCCTCGCCCCACGGCTCGAAGATCGACGTCAAGATCGGCGACGCGCTGGCGAACCTGAAGGCCTGGCCCGCGGACAAGAAGTTCGACATGGTCTTCGTCGACGCGGACAAGGGCTCCTACCAGGCCTACTACGACACCGTGCTGGACCGGGGCCTCCTCGCGCCGGGCGGCGTCGTCGTCGTCGACAACGTGCTCTTCAAGGGCGCGCCCTACGTCGGGCCGTCCAAGTTCGACAACCGGTCCTGGAACGACGGCGGCGCCGCCGTCGCGGCCTTCAACGACCACGTCGCCGCGGACGACCGCGTCGAGCAGGTCATGCTGCCCATCCGCGACGGCATCACGATCATCCGCCTCAAGGACCAGCCGGCGCTCGCGCCCGTCGCCGCCGCCGCCGCGCCCGTCGTCGCCCAGGCGCCCGAACCCGTCGTCGTCGCGCCGCCGGCGCCGCCCGCGGTCGAAGTCGCGTCCGACGCGGTCGTGTCGGGCGTCGGCAACAAGCCCATCCTCGACCGCATGCGCCTCGACGGCAAGGCGGCGCTCGTCACGGGCGCGGGCCAGGGCATCGGCCGCGCCTTCGCCCACGCGTTGGCCGAGGCCGGCGCGGCGGTCTGCGTCGCGGACCTCGACTTGGACCGCGCGAAGGCCGTCGCCGCGGAGCTCGAGGCCAAGGGCGCGCGCGCGTACGCGCACAAGGCCGACTGCGGCGACCCGGCGGCGATCGCGTGCATGGTCGACACGGTCGTCGAGAAGTTCGGCGCCATCGACATCGCCGTGAACAACGCGGGCGTCAACAAGAACTCCGCGGCCGAGGACACGCCGCTCGCGGACTGGGACCTGACGTTCAACCTAAACACGCGCGGCGTCTTCCTCTGCTGCCAGGCCGAGGCGAAGCACATGCTCGCCAAGGGCTGCGGCAAGATCATCAACACGGCGTCCATGGCGTCGCTCCTCGTGCCCCACCCGCAGAAGCAGGCGGCCTACAACTGCTCCAAGGCCGCCGTCGTCAAGCTCACGCAGAGCCTCGCGTGCGAGTGGGCCGGCCGGGGCCTCAACGTCAACTGCGTGAGCCCGGGCATCGTCGACACGCCCCTCATCTGGGACAACCCGGCCCTCAACAAGCTCGCGGACCAGTGGCTCGCGCAGATCCCCGCGAACCGGCTGGCGCAGGTCACGGACCTCCAGGCCGCCGTCGTCTACCTCGCCTCCGAGGCCTCGGACTACATGGTCGGCCACAACCTCGTCATCGAGGGCGGCCAGTCCCTCTGGTAGAGCGCGCGCAGCCTCCCTCTGTTCCTAACGCGCTTACGATTCGAAACTCATAGAAAAATTACGACGACCCGACGTCGTAGACGCGGACCTTCAGGCCCCGGACGGACCGCTCGAAGGCGCACTTCCAGCCCCGGAGCTCGAAGCCGACGCAGACGACGACGCCGCGCTCCAGCTCCGCCTCGAGCGTCGCCAGGAGCTTCGCGCAGCCCTCCCGGAACAGGTACGCGACGACGACGTCGCCGGCCGCCAGGAGCGGCGCGCCGTCGAAGAAGTCGCGCCGCTCGAGCGTCGCCCGGCCCGCGAGGCCCCGGCGCGCGAGCGCGTCGCGGCCTTTAACCAACAAAGCCTCGTCGAGGTCGTAGCCGACGCCGACGCAGTCGTAATGTTCGCACGCGGCGACGAGCCACCGCGCGTCGCCGCAGCCGAGGTCGACGACGCGCCTCGGCGCCATCGACCCGTCCTTGGTCAGCGTGCCCCGCGCGGCGAGGGCGGCCAAGATGTCGCGCACGAGCTCGGGCGGCGACGGCGAGATGGGCGCGACGAGCGCCGCGTCGCCGGCGGCGGCCTGCTGGGCCTCGAAGCGCTCCTTGGCGAGCCTGATGAGCGCGGCGCGCGTCGCCGATTTTTTGGACGAGGTTGATGGCGCGTTTGATGGCTGCTTCGGCTGCTCCTGGTGCTCCGACAGAGCAGCCATCTCGCCGCTCGACAGAGCAGCCATCACGCCGCTCGATACTGCACCTTTGGCTGGTTTGCCAGATGTTTGCCAGATGTTTGCCCCTGTTGACCTCAACTGAGGCGAGCATGAGCGCGGCTTAGGGCCCGACTTGCGCGCGCAAACCCCACCCGACAACCCACAAACCCCACCCGACAACCCACAAACCGCCCACAACCATCAGCCATGAGCTCCCTCTTCGGCCCGGCGATCAGCGACATCTGGGGCAAGTCGACGCGGCGGCGCAAGCGCCGCCAGGCGGCCGAGGAGGACGCCGAGAGCGACGAGGAGCGCGGCGGCGCGCGCAAGCGCGCGCGGGGCGGCGCGAAGAAGCTGCCCGCCGAGGTCGCGGCCCTGCTCGGCGAGGCGCACGCCGAGGTCATCGGCGGCGACGAGGAGCGCGCGATCTCGCTTTTGGGCGAGGTCGTCCGCCGCGTGCCCGAGGCGCCCGACGCGTACGCGACCCTCTCGGAGATCTACGAGGGCCGGGGCGCCGCCGAGGACGAGGCCAAGGCGCTCCAGCTCGCCCTCGTGGCGGCGCACCTCGCGCCGTCGGACGCGACGGCCTGGCGGCGGGTCGCCGTGCTGTCGATGGAAGCCGCGCGCCGCGCGCCGGCCGACGGCTCCACCCCGAGCCCGCCGCGGTCGCCCCGCTCCGGCGCGCTCTCCAAGGCCGCGGCCTTCACGGACGACGAGCGCGTCGCCTTCGACGCGCTGAGCCGCGTGCTGAAGCTCGACCCGCGCGACGCCGCGGCCGCGGCCGACATCGCCGCGCTCTACGCGTCGCGGAACATGCCCGGCGCGGCGACGGACGAGCTCGAGCGCTTCCTCGCCAAGCAGGACGGCGCCGGCCCGCGGACGACGGACGAGATCTCCCTGGATCTCGTGCTCGCGGAGCACGCGGCGGCCGCGGGCCGCGCGGCTTTGGCCAAGGAGGCGCTCGCGCGGGCGCTCGAGGACGCCGCGGAGCCCGCGCCCCAGCCGGGCGCCGCGGGCGCGAGGACCGACGACGACGCGCGCCGGGCCGAGACGCGCCAGCGCGCGGCCATCGACCTCGCGCGCCTCCTCTACGACGAGGGCGACTTCGACGGCGCGCGGCGCGCGCTGGGGTCGCGGCGGCCCGACGAGCCGCTCGACGTCGCCGTCGTCCGCGGCGCCTGCGAGGCGCGCGCCGGCGACGCCGCGCGGGCGACGGAGGACTGGCGGGGCCTCGTGCGCCAGTGCCGGGGCCTCGCGCAGGCCCTCGCGGACGGCGGCGGCGGCGCGGACGTCGAGGACTACTACGACGAGCAGGCGCGCCTCGTCGACGCGGTGCTCGACGCGCTCGGCGACCTGGCGCCGGCCGTCACGGAGCAGATGCACGAGCTGCTGGCGGCGCTCCTGGACGCGGCCGCGCGGCTCCACGGCGCGCGGGCCGCCGTCGAGGAGGACCGCGCGGGCGGCGGGTCGCCGCATCGGGGCGACGAGGCGCGCGCGCACGCGACGCTCGCGCGCCTGCTCCGCGAGCGCGGCGCGCTCGTCGCCGCGCGGGGCCGCGTGAAGCGCGCCCTGGCGGCCTGCGCGGGTTCCGCGCGGGCGCTGGGCGAGGACGCGGCGCTCACGGCCGCGGAGCCCGGCGGCGCGCGCGCGTGGGACCCCGCGGCGGCCGTCGCCAAGCTCCTCAGGGCCGCGGGCCCGCCGCCGGGCGCGGGCGCGGGCCTGCGGCGCCGCGCCGTCGACGACGAGGTCGTCGCGTGGACGGCCTTCGCGGAGTCGTTGGCGGCGCGCGTCGGCGTGGCAAGGGACGCGGGCGACGCGAGGCGCCTCGTCGCCGTCGCCGCGGCCGTGCTCGAGTCGTCCTGCGCCGGCGACGCGCTGGCGCCCGAGGCAGCGGCCCTCGCGGGGGCGGCCGTCGCCGTCGCGCCGCGCGGCGCGCGCAAAGGCGCGCTCGCGACGCTCCGGGCGACGCGCGAGGCGCTCCTCGACGGCGACCTCCGCGCGGTCTTCGACCGCGTGTCCGCGGCCGTCGCCGACGCGTCGCCGCGGGCCCGGCGCCACGCGGCGAGGAGCGCGCTCGCGCGCTGCTGCGCGGGCCTCGACGCGCTCGGCGCGGCCGCCGTCGCCGACGCGTCCGTCGGCGACCTCATCGCGGTCCACGCGGTCGGCCTGCGGCCCGTCGACGACGGCGCGCTGGCCCGGGTCGCGGCGCAGCGCGGCGTCGACGCCGTGCGCGCGGCGGGCGGGCCCGACGCCTGCGCCGCGGTCACGCGCCTCGCGGCGGCGGCCGCCGCCGCCGCGGGCGATCCGCGCGACCCAAAGAAGACGGCGGCGCTCTCCGCGGCGCTCGCGGCCGCGGACCGCCCCGCGGCGGGCGCCGCGGCCGTCGCCGCCGCGGCGACGGTCCACGCGGCGCTCGCGACCTACGTCGACGACGACGGCGCGTTGCACGACGACGCCGCGCCGCGGCGGCGGCCGCGCGCGCCGCGGAAGGCCAAGGACGGCGACGACGCGGCGCCGCCGCCGCCGCCGCCGCCGCCCAAGGCGCCGCCGAAGCCCGCGCCGCCGCTGCTCCTCGCCCTCGCGCTCCACAAATGCGAGCCGCGGCGCGCTTTGGCGCTCGTCGCGCCGCCCGCGGGCGGGCCGCCGGCCGACGAGCCGCCGTCGGCGCCGCTGCTCCGCTGCGCCGTGCTCGCGGACTGCGCGACGCGGGGCACGGCGTCGGCGAGCGCCAACGCCGCGGCGTCGGCGACCGTCGCGCCGACGCGGTCCGGCGCGGCGCTCCGCGCCGCCGCGGAGCTGGCGCGCTACGCGGAGCTCCGGGGCACGGGCGGCGCGGCGGCGCAGGAGGTCGCCTACAACACGGGCCGCTTCTTCCACGCCCTCGGCCTCGAGGCCCTCGCCGCGGCCCACTACCGCGACGCGCTCGACGGCGACGGGCCCGCGGACCTCCTCGTGACGCGGTCCGCCGCGCTGAACTTGGTGAACCTCTACGCCAAGGACCCGGCGACGCGCGACCACGCGCGCGAGATCCTCGCCAAGCACCTCGTAATCAAGTAACGGGCCCCGCGCGCCGCGCGAACTCGCCCGCGTCCGCGCACCGGAAGCCCTCCCGGAGCCACTGGCCGAGCGCGGGCGCGATCGCGGACCGCAGGTCGAAGTGGATCGCGCCCGGCGCGCGCAGCACCGTCGCGCTCTCGCCGAGGCTCTCCGCGAAGGCGTCGAAGGTCCCGTTGGAGCAGAAGACGTCCGCCGTCGCGTGGAGCACGAGCTTCGGGCAGCCCGTCGCCCGGGCGTCGTCGAGGTGGCGCCAGTTCCACGCGAAGAGGAACCAGGCGTAGTCCAGCGGCGGGTTCAGGGCCGCCCAGCCCGCGAGCGCGCCGCCGGGCGCGAGGCGGAAGGCCGCGCGCATGGCCACGCACGCGCCGTAGGAGTAGCCGACGACGACGACGCGGTCAACGCCCGCCATCGCGAGCAGCGCGTCCGCGGCCGCGACGGCGTCGTCGACGGACGCCTCGCCGCGGCCGAAGCCGCTCCGGAACTGGACGCGGCACGTCGCGCAGCCGCCCTTGCCGAAGAACTGCGTCACGGCGCGCACGTGCGGGTCGTCGAGCGAGCCCCCCAGGGGGCCCCAGGGGTGCAGCGACACGACGCCGACGCGCCCGCTGCCGGCGTTGGGCCGGATCAGGCACTGCGCGCCCGTCGACAGCTCGAACTCCTCCTCCGCGGCGAGGGACAGCATGGCTGGCGGTGATGGCGGGATGGCGGAGCGATGGCAAATTGATGGCATCGAGCCTCTGAGCTCTGTGGCAAACAGCGATCCAAAATTGTCGAGGCACGGGGCTCGTGCGGCGGCCTCTCGAGTAGAGTCTTCGAGGCAGACGGGACTCTCGTGCGGCGGCGTCTCGAGTAGAGACATGTCGCTCGACGCCTCGTACAAGAAGCGCTTTTTGGCGTCCGTGATACCAAAGCATCACCTCACATCGTTTGCACAGGTGGGACACCTTCGACGACTCGAGCGAGTCCGAGGACGATGCCGCTGGATCCGGCGGCGACGAGGCCGCGCCGCCCAACGCCGTGGAAGTGCTCACCGAAGCCGACCTCGATCGCATGGCGGTCGCGTGCGAGATCGAGGCCGAGGCGCGGAAAGTCCTCCACGACATGGAGACGACCGCGTTCGCCTTTTCCGGAGCGACGCGGTCGTTCGGCGAGTATTTCGACACGTCGATGGGCTACGTCGATCTCGAAGACCTCGAGAACGGCGTCCTGGGCGACCTGCGCGCAGGCTTTTACGACGACGTCAAAGCGTACGAGTGGCGGGGGAGGGAGGCCGTCGCGTTCCTGTTTTACGCGCGGACCCGAGCGGGAATCGATTGCAGGCTCACGCTCCGCTGCGCGCCGCAGGTCGTCAAGCACACCACGCAGAAGCGCCGGCTCATCCAGAAGGTCCTCAAGTGGGCGCACCGCGTCGCGACGTCCGCGGGCGGCCAGTCGATCTCGGGCCGCTGATGTCTCGAGCCTCCGAAGACTAAGCGACGCCGAAGTCCGAGAGAGTCTGAGAGGCAGTGGGGAGATTAAAGAAGGGGAGCGGGGGTCAAGCAAGGGCCGCGCCTAGGCGGACGCGGCGATGGGCTCGTCGGCGGCGCAGTCGTCCTCCGCGTAGAGCGCGTCGACGTCGGCCTCGTGCGCCGCGAAGACCGCGGGCCGCTTGACGGACATCTTGGGCGTGACCATGCCGCGCTTGAGGTTGAAGCCCTCCGTGAGGATGGCGAACTTCTCCGGGAGCTCGAAGTTCTTGAAGCCCGACGAGTGGGCCGCGATCTCGTCCGCGAGGAGCGCCTTGAGCTCGGCGCCGTGCGCCTCGAGCAGCCCCTCGACGGCCGCCGCGGGCTCGAAGAGGTAGGGCGCGGGCATGGCCACGGACCCGGCCTTCCCGAACTTCTCGGCGACGGCGACCCAGTCGAGGGCGAGGAGCGCGACGTTGTAGGGCCGGTTGTCGCCGTAGAGGAAGGCCTGCGCGACGTAGCGGCTCCGCGCCAATTGCTCCTCCAAAGGCGTCGGCACGACGTACTTGCCGTTGGCGAGCTTGTACTGCTCCTTGATGCGGCCGACGATGCGCACGTGGCCCGACGCGTCGACGACGCACTGGTCGCCCGTGCGGAACCACGTCTCGCCGCCGTCCTCGAAGAGCACCTCCGCCGTCGCGTCCGGGTTCTTCCAGTAGCCGCGCATGACGCCGCGGCCCGACGCGCAGAGCTCACCGGGCTCGCCCGGCGCGACCTCGGCGCCGTCGGCGTCGAGCACCTTGACGCCGACGCCCGGCAGGGCTACGCCGATGGAGCCCTTGACGTCGTTCGCCAGCTCGAGCGGCTTCTCCTTCGTGAGCACGGGCGACGTCTCCGTGAGGCCGTAGCCGTTGGTCATGGGCACGCCGCAGGCGTCCATGAAGTCGCGCACCTCCTTGGACAGGGCCGCGCCGCCGTTGCCCGCGAAGAGCAGCTTGCCGCCGAGCTTGTCGCGGACCTTCGAGAGCACGAGCTTGTCCAGCACGAAATGCTGGAGCGACTCGACCAGGGTCAGCGGCGGCGGCGACGACCCGTCGGCGTCCGTGAGGCGGCTCCGCGCCTTCTTCGCGCCCAGCGCGACGGCCTTGTCCGCGAGCGCGCGCTTCTTCTCCGGCATCGCGGCCTTCGTCTGCTGGAAGCCGTCGAAGACGCGGTTGTAGAGCGCGGGCACGGCGAAGAGGCAGTCGGGCTTCGCCTCGGCGACCTCGGCCAGGAAGGTCGTCGGGTCCGTGGCCACCGCGACCTCGTGGCCCGCGGCGGTCATGCCGTGCAATTCGATGGTCTGGCCGTAGATGTGCGCCCAGGGCAGGATCGCGAGGGACCGCACGGGCGCCGTCGGGTAGTGGCCGATGGCGCCCATCTCCTCGCGCATGAGGTCGCGCATGGTCGTGCAGTTCCAGACGAGGTTGTCGTGCGTGAGCTCGACGCCCTTGGGCTTGCCCGTCGTGCCCGACGTGTAGATGAGCGACGCGAGGTCACTCGCGGACGGCCGCTGGGCCGCGGCGGCGGCGCCGTCGAGCGTCGCGCCGTAGTCCAGCGCCTCGGCGAAGTTGTGCTCGCCGCCGGCCTCGAGGTCCTCGAAGCAGAGCACCTTTTTGCCGTACTTGCGCGCGGCCTCGCGCGCGGACGGCAGGAGCGCGGCCGTGGACACGAAGACGACCTTGGCCTCGGAGTCGTTGAGGATGTACTCCCACTCCTCGGGCTTCTGCTGCTCGTACATGGGCACGTGCGCGGCGCCCGCGGCGTACGCGCCGTACATGGTCGCGACGAACTCCTCGCGGTTCTTGCTGATGACGGCGACGCGGTCGCCCCGCTCGACGCCGTAGCTCGCGAGGGCGTTGCCCAGGGCGTCGGCGCGCGCCGCGCGCTCGGCGAAGGTCGTCCAGACCCAGGCGCCGTCCTTGCGCGTGCCCAGGGACTTGAGGTCGCCGTAGGCCTCGCCCGCGGCGACGCCCAGCTCGTGGAGCGTCGCCACGGACCCCGTCGGGACGGAGTCGTTGGACCAGGCGCTCAACCCGCGCCGGGTCGCGGCGAGGGCCGCGGGGGCCGGGCGCGAGGCCCCGGACGACCACAGAATACGTCCAGTTCTGATGGACATTGCGCGAGTTGTCGAATTCGAGGATGGCGCTGCCTTTGCGGGCTGGGGGTGCCGTGCGCTCGTTGGGCTGCCCGTCGACACCAGCAAGGATGGGCAACGCGTCGAGCCTGTCGCCGGAGCGCATCGCGCTCGTCCAGGGCGCGCTGGGCTACCTCGCCTTCGGGGAGTGCGTCGTCGCGCTCCGGATCTTCCCGGACGGCGCGTTCCTCGCGCCGGCGAAGCCCTTCTGGCAGTGGATGGTCGAGCGCCTCGCGGCGGAGCGGTGCCTGCGCACCGTCGGGCCCGACCGCTTCGAGCTCCTCGGCGTGAACGGCTGGCGCGGCTGCTTCGAGCGGCTCTGGCAGAGCCGCCACGGCGTCGTCGCGAGCCCCGCGCTCGACGGCGGGCCGCGCGGCGCCTGGCGCACGATGCGCTGCGTCGTCCGCGTGCGGCCGGCGGCGGGCGCCGCCGCCGCCGCGGCGGACCGGCCGCCGCCGGAGGTCACCGTGCCGCTGCACCAGCGCGTGGCGCTCCTGCGGCGCCGGGGCCTCTCCGCGGCGGACGCCAAGGCCAAGGCCGTGGCCATGAAGAAGGGCGGCCTCCGCGCGACGATCTGCGGCCACGACGACGCGCGCGTGCACGCGCTCGCGCCCTACGTCGGCGCGAAGACCTACGACTTCGACCGCGTCCTCGGCGCGGCGGCGACCCAAGAAGACGTCTGGAAGCTCGCCTTTCCCGTCGTCCACGACGCGCTCAACGGCCGCGACGGCTGCGTCTTCGCCTACGGCCAGAGCGGCTCCGGCAAGACGCACACCATGTTCGACGCCGCGGGCGGCCACCCGGGCCTCGTCGCGCGCGCGCTCGGCGAGCTCGTGTCGGCCGCGCCGCGGGGCTGGGCCGTCGTCGCGACCTACGTCGAGGTCTTCGGCGACGACCTCACGGACCTGCTCTCGGGCGCCAGGATCCGGAGCGAGCGCCGCGCTCAAACCGCGCGGCTCGCCGGGGTCGCGGCCGTCGACGCCTTCCTCGCGGAGGGCGCCGCGCGGAAGCGCGCCGCGGCGACGATGCTGAACCTGCGGTCGACGCGCGCGCACGCCGTCGTGTCCGCGCGGCTCGTCCGCGACGACGACGCCGTCGTGTCGACGCTCGTGCTCGTGGACCTGGGAGGCTCGGAGCGCGTCGAGCGGTCCAAGGTCAACGAGAACTTGCTCGCGCCCGGCGGCGTCGCGTCGAACAACGTCGAGAGCCGCAACACGTGGAAGGACTACTACGCCGCGCGCGGGCGGCTCCAGGAGACGACGCGGATCAACCTCGGGCTCCTGGCGCTCAAGCGGTGCGTGACCGCGCTCCTCGAGGACGGCGCGGCGCGCGTGCCCTTCATGGACTCGAAGCTCACGCAGCTGCTGGAAAAGCCGCTGTCGTCGCGGAGCGTCTGCGCGGTGATCTGCGTCGGCCGCGAGGACGCGCACGCCGCGGAGAGCATCGAGAGCCTCAACTTCGGCGAGGGCCTCCGGCGGCTCCGCGGCGACGGCGAGGCGCGCGGCGGCGCCGGCGCGGCCATCTCCGCGGCGCTGCGGGCCATCGACGCGCGCGCGGCGGAGCTCCAGCGGCTCATCGCGGCGAAGGAGCGCTGGGAGTGGCGCGACGCGGAGCGGACGGACGTCGTCGACGAGATGGACACGGGCGGCGCGGTCCTCGTCGACGAGGCCATGGAGATGGGCGGCACGGGGGCCATCGAGATTCTTGCCGACGACGGCAAGAGCACGAAGGTCGCCCACGCCCACACGGTCCGCGGCCAGGTCATCGTCGGCGCGGAGGCCGAGAACCGCGAGCTCGAGGCGCTCCTCGACCAGCGGCGCGCGCTCCTGGGGGAGAGTTAAGCGCGGATATTACGGTCCCTTCGCACATTTGTGCGCGAGGTGGCGCATATTCCACAAACTAGTAGCGCAGCAAAAAGGAAACATGGGTCGTTCATCTGCTCGCGGTGCCAACTCGGAGAGGGAGGGGTCTTTCAGCTCAGCGAGCGTGACAGCACATTCGTCGGGGACGTCAGCACGAGCGACCACAAGCCCATTCGCGCCGCGTTCGACATATAGGCACCCGGACGTCTTAAGAAGGAACTGCGAGCTTTCCGTCGCAGATTCATGCGGCTGCCGCGTGGGCGGGCGAGCTTCGATGGGCCACGGCCGCCGCCCGCATCGACGGCGCCGCCGAGCCAACGGCAGGGGCGCGCACGAGAAAGGGGGGGATTCCCCGACACGCGAGTCCGCCTCGACGACCACGCCACTAACGCGGCCGGCGACCGGCGCGCGTGAGCTGTTAGTTTACGATGAGCTTTCTTCTAGTCGTCCCAACCATCGTCGTCGTCGCTGTCCGGGATCGGCCGGTCCTCCCCCTCCGCGGCGGCGCGGCGCGCGCGCATTGCGGCGACGACGGCGTCGATGTCGTCGCCGGCGGCGTCGATGTCGTCGCTCGCGGGCGTGCCGAGGAGGGCGCTCGCCGTCGGGGGCGCTACGCCGGCGTCGAGGCGCCGGCGCGCTCGCGCTCGCGCCTCCTCGCGCGTCGCCCGTTCCGCGGCTAGTTGCTCCGTCCTTGCGGCGTCGCGCGCGGCTCGCTGGGCGGCCCGATCACGGGCCAGCCTCTCTCGCTCGACGCACTGGAGCTCGCGCTGCCAGCATGCGACGAAGCCCTGGAGGAGCGAGAAGACCTCGCCGAGTCCTCGACCCGGGCGCTCCCCAAAGTCACGGGCGAGGTCAGCGCCCGCGCGAGACGTCGCCTCCCGGGCGGCGTACAGGGCCCTGACGTGCGCCGAGAGCCAGTCCGCCCAGGTTTCGAGGGCCTCCGCATCCGGCGGGCCGGCGGCGGCCTCCGCGCGCACGAGACCCAGGTCCGCGTCGAGACGCGCGAGGCCCTCCTCGGTCTCGGCGTCGGCCCGCGCCGTCGCCGCTCCCAGGACGTCGGAGAGCTCGACAACGAGCCCGGATGCCGCGTGGGCCATGTCGCTGTCGACCACGGCCCGGAGCACGACGCGAAGGAGGGAGTGGCCGCGCGCGCCCTTGAGCTCGCTCATCTTCGCGAGGCTCGAGAGGCCGACGCCCGCCGCCTGCCGCGACGAGCCGTGGTTGAGCGCGTTGCCGACGAGGAGGGCGACGCGGAGGACGTGCCGGAGACTCTCGCTGGCCGCGATGGCCTCGACGGCGACGAGGCGCGCCCGGACCGCCCGGCCGACCGCCGCGAGCGCCTTCGGCGCCGTAAATTTGACGAGGAGGACGTCGAAGCGGGACCGAAGGCGCGGCACGCCGAGGACGAAGGCGGCGACGTAAGCTTCCTGCTCCCGCAGCGAGCGCCCCGCGGCGTTCGCGACGGCGTCCCCGAGGGCCGCGGCTTCGGCCGCGTCGTCCTGCGCCTTTGACGGCAGGACGACGCGCCGCAGGAGCTCGAGCGTATCCTCGCCGAAGCTCAAGTCCGACGACGAGCCCGCCAGCGCGCTCGCGACGACGGGTCCATCGGCGAGACCCAAGTCCCGGATCTTCTTGAGCACGAGCGCGACGCCCTGGGCTCGCTTCGGCTGGAGCGCCGCGACGTCCGAGGAAGGCGTCGCGCGGGTCGCGTCGGACGCCCTCGTGGACGATGGCCGGGCCGGTTCCACGGAGGTCCGGAATTCCGTCTCCAGCTCCGCCATCGCCGACCCGACGACCGCGCGCGCCGCGTCGAACGACGCGTCGTCGCACGAGTCCCACCACGACGAGCCGACGGCGTCGTCGTCCAGCGGGTCCCAGAAGAGTCGCTTCGTGGTCACGGACGGTTTTGGACCGTCGACCGGCGCACGCGATGCGCTCTTCGCCGCCGTCGGAGCGCCCGCCGGCGCCCCGCGGAGTAGCGCCGGGTCCAGCCCCTCGGCCCGCATTTTCAACGCGACGGCCGCCTCCGGCACTCCCATGCGAAGCATGCGCTGGAACCGGACGGCCCGCGGATCGACGGGTTCCTTTGGATGCATGTCCTGCGGGTCGAGGCCCTCGGCTCGCATCTTGGCGTCGACGGCCGCCGCCGGCACGCCCATCTTGAGCATGCGCTCGTACTTTTCGTATCGCGGGTCTTTGGGACCCGCTGGCTCGAGGACCGGGGCCTCGAGGACCACGGCCGCACGAGATCCGTCGGGGTCTTGCGCCGGCGCGACATCTTGCGCCTCTTGTCTGGGGGGCCGCGCTTCGATCGCCATCGCCAGATCCGCGAGGACCGCGTCCGCGGCCGCCTCGGGCGAGGCTTCTGCCACGATGGCCTCGGATGTCATCGCTGACGGCTGGTCTGATTCGGCGACGGTCTCGGGCGACTCGGCGTCGGCGTCGGCCGGCTCGGCGACGGCCTCGGGCGACTCGGCGACGGCCTCGCCGCCGCTTTCGCCCGGAGCGTTCTCCTGGCCGGCGTCGGATCCTTCGTCCTCCGAGGCACCCTCTGGGGCCTCTAGCTCGTCTGGCGGCGCCATGATCGACGCCCTCCGCACGCCCATGGACAATTCCAGCACCTGGGCCAGGGACAAGGCGGGCGCGTCCGCCGTCGCTTCGCTCGCGCCGGCCGCTCCGTCTCCGACGTCCTCTTCGCCGTCCAATAAACGCGACAGTTTGCTGCAAGCGAGGGCGACTCGCCCGAGGAGCTCGGGGTCGTCGCAGGCCGCCGCCGAACGGTCGGCTTTGGCGATGAGCGTGGCGACGGCGACGCGCGCGTCGCGGGCGTCGCGCACGACGCCGGCCGCGACGTCGTCGGCGTCGTCGATTCGCTGCTGTTCGCTCTCCAGGTCATCGAGGCGGATTCTATCCATGTCGTCGACGATCATTCCGATGGATTCGCCGCGACTGCCAGCGAGACTCCGACGTTCTGGCTGGCCGTCGCCGAGGCCTGATTCGACCTCGACCTCGTTCTCGTCCGCGGCGTGGCCTGTCCGCTGGCCGCCGCAGCTGTGGTTGCAGCTGTGGTTCCCACGGCGTCCGGATTCGAGCTCGCCCGTCTGCGAATGACTTCTCCCGGAGTCAGGATCATGTGCGAGATCGAGTCATCGCCCATGAGAGTCGGCCGCGGCGTCTCCGCGATGCCCCAGCTGGCGTCTCGGATGGCATCGAGGCTGCTCTGGACGCCGGCAACCTCCAGCTCCGCGCGCAATCGCATTCGCCGCCGAACTTGCGCAGGCCCGGAGCCGAGCGGCCGCGCCGTGACGGTGGCGAGCAGGTCGACGCACGCCAGGCCGTACGCGAGTCGCCACGACGGCTCCTCTCCGGCCGCGCCGAGGTGCTCCGCGGAGTCGTCGAGGCGCCGCCTCACGACCTCCCACGGGCCATGTTCTGGGCATCCAAGCGTGCAGAGCGAGTTGACGACCGCCGAGTGGCCCGCGCCGCTCGCCGCCGCGAGCCGCGCCAGCTCGACCAAAATCCGCGTGACGCGCCGCGCCTCGGAATCCGCGTCCCACGAGGCGTCCGTGAAGTCCGGTTTGAACGACAGCAGTGCGATGTCACACAGGGTCGACATGGACGATCGCGGCGCATCCGGACGGGGCGCCGCCGACGACGCGCTCACCGACTCGAGGCAGATGGCGGAGGCGTACTTTGGCATTCGCAGGGCCCGCAGCAGGATCTTCGTCTCCAGCGGCACGCCACCGACGGTAACGACAGCACCCCTCCCCTGGCGACGCTCCTCAGCTGCCTGGGCGCAGATTCTCGAAAGCGCCGCTGTCGCCTCCGCGACGCTCTCCGCGATCGAGGAAGAACGGGGCGACGTCGCGGCCGCTTCGCCGGCTTCGGGCTCCGAGAAATGGACCTGCGCGTGGTTCCGACGCATGGATGCGGTCGTGACCGAGATGCGGTGGGTCATGCTCTTCAGTTGCTTCCGGGCGATGTCTCGGAGCTCGCGGGGCGTCGCGCCCGCGAGCTCGAGCGTGACCGCGGTGACCGTGAGCAGCACGGTGCAGATCCCGAAGAAGACCATGACCATGGAGAAGACGGTCCCCTGGAAGAGGTCCCCCGGCTGCCCGGATTGCTCCTCCATCTTCTTCGTGACGAATATCATCAGGCACATGAAGAAGATGATGACGATCTGGGTCTGAGCGAGCTCGGCGACGGCGTCGTCCGAATACTCGATGTACGGAGCCGCGTACGAGTAGACTTTGGCGCTGATGAGGGCGATCAACAGTCCGGTCGCGATCTGCGTCGCCGAGCCCGGATAGATGAAGACGAGGAGCGAGGTCATGCACAGCTTCCGGAAGAGGTCCGGGACGACGAAGAGATAGCAGCGGGGCTCGTATTCCTCGAAGAGGAACGACAAGTGGGATATCGACTCGTCCCTCTCTCTGAGCTTCAGCTTCGCGGCTTGTCGCTTCACCAGCCCGATGGTCTCCGAGCGCGTCTCGTCCGCCGACTGCGCCAAGCCGAACGTCCAAGACGCCATCCGCCGCAAGGCGAAGTGCTGGAGCGACGTCGCGCGATGCGGCCAGTGGAGCTCGCTCGATGAGCCGGCGTCGAGGTTCGGACGATCGACCATGTTCGACGAAGAATCCTCGGCTAAAATACGGGCAGCTTGAGAGTGTTCGGCGGAAGCGTCTTCCAACGGCGGGTCGATACGATGGCGATGGCTCCACAGGAGGCAGAAATAAAATGTCGGTATCCCAAATGGCCAGATGGCCACCATGAGCGCCGCGTAGAGCTTCCACAGGCTATTGTACCTCGTAGACTCGCAGTCGATCGAGTAGTCTGCCTCGAGGATGAAAAACGACGACGTGGACCCACCCGCGTCGGTTTCGCGGAGTTCGATGCCTACATGACGAAGCGTTCAGACGCGAAAGTCGGCAGGGGGACACGGGCTTCGATGCAGTTGAAATAGCGCAGGCACGTGGTCGAAACGGTCGGAAACACGAGGAACGTCAGCACCAGGAACGCGTACATGGTGTGGATCCAAGCCGACCGGCGATCTTCCTCGTTGCTCGACCGCCGCATGTAGAACGCACCGACCAAGAAGATGCACAGGCCCACGAACACCGGCGTCATCGTCGCAATCAGGATGGTCCGATAGTAATCCATGCGCATGAAGCAATCGAACGGCAGCACGCGCACGAGGTTCAGCTCGAGGACGGAGGTCCACTCGATGAGCGTCTGGAAGGCCTCGGGCAGCGTCACCATCGGCAGACTCCAGGGGAGGGCATCAATGATTTGGAAAACCCCGATGACGATTTTGAGTTTCGTCAGCAGACTTTTTCGGTTGCGAGTGTTGAACTCGAAACTGAAAATGCGCAGGATCTGCTCATTTTCTTCCTCCTCCTCGTCCTCGCCGTCATCTTCCATGATGATGGGCTGCACGTCTGGGTGGCTCGGGGCGCCGCCGCATGTTGGTGCGCTGTCCACTCGGACATCCTCGTCCTCGTCATCTGAGAGCGCGCCGCAGCTCGGCTCTTCGTCGACGTCGCCACCGTCCGCGTGATCGCGCTCCTCGCGCGCCGCGTTAGAAAAGTCGATGCTGATCCTCTCCGGGTCCACGGGGGCGTCGACCCCACCTGCGTCATCGCCTGGATCGCTCGAAGTGCCGCCGGGATCGAAATCGGCGGCGGCTGGGTCGTAGAGATGCGACCGCGAGCCGAAGAACAGCAGCCCCCCCTTAATCACAGCGTCCGAGGCGCCCGCCTCGTGATCCTTCATCAGGTCCTTGGCAACCGTGAAGATGATGTCCGTGTGATCGTAGAGGCAGCGATACGTCGCGAGCGCGAGAAGCAGCGCGGCCAGCGCGCAGCTAAAGATGGCGAGCGGCGTACCCTGCACGACGGCGCCGCCCGGGCACTCCACGCATTTGTTCCGCAGCATGTCGTAGTGGAAGGAGCTGCTGCAGACCTGACACATCACGCCCTCCTGCCCGTCCGCGCAGAGTTCCTTCCACCGGCTCGCGTTCGCGCCGAGGCCGCGCCACCCCCCATCTTTGCAGGCTCCGCTGTACCCGCACTTGTACAGGTCGGTCGAATAGATCGAGGCGCGCCACCAGCCGGGCGCAATGCGCACGTCCTCGAGCGTGTTATTCGCCTCGACGCTGCAGTCCATGCCGCGCTCGCCGCTGACGCAGCAATCCGCGAAGCGCTCGGTGCTCTGGAGACCCCCGCGGTCGTCGCAGCTCATGATGACGCCCGCTTCCTCGTATGTCTGGAACGGGTTGAAGTAGTAGTCCTGGAGGCCTGCGAGGTTTCGCGGAGATTGGGCCCGGCGACGCGAGTCGGGACGCGGGACGAGGCAGCTGTAGCAACCCGCGGACCCGTAGGCCAGGGACGTCGAGAACGGGGGGCAGGAAAGGCAGGAGGCGAGGCCCGGCGTGTTCGCGTACGTGTCGGGCGCACAGGGCGTGCACTCCGCCGCCGCCGACGACGACGTGCGGCCCGTCGGGCAGTCGTCGCAGGCGCCGCTCCCCGTCGTCGAGTATTTCCCGGCTTCGCACGCGGCGCATTCGGCGTCGCCTTGCTGCGAGAACCGTCCCGCCGGACAAGAGGTGCAGTTCGCGAAGTAGTAGTTTCCCACGCCGACGGGTACCTCGATCGTACCTGGGCGGCGGGTGACGGTCGCGCGCCCGAATTTGAGACACCGGAGCGAGACCCGCCGGACAAGTGCCGTTCGAGCACGACGGGCCGGTGAACGGGTCGAAGCAGTCGCAGGAGCCCGCGCCGCGCACGCCGTCCTCGCAGGTGCCCCTGGAGCGCCCCGAGTTGGCGACGCCGCACGTGTCGAGCATGCGCGGCCGGTCTCTGTCTTCGTCGCCGCCCTGCGGGCAGATGTCGCAGGTCGTACCGAAGTAGCCTGTCTGGCACGCCTCGCACTGCCAGCCCGCGAATCCGATGAGGCAGGAACACGTCGACTCCGAAAACAAGGACGACGTCTCGCAGACGCCTCTGCCGGAGCACGGGTTCTCCTGGACGCAGAGCCCGTTCGCGAAGATGCTCGGGGCGCCGCGCTGCTGCCCGACGACGAGATCGGCGTCGCCGTCGCCGTCGACGTCGGCGACCGCGGGGGCCGAGAACTTGCCGACGTCGAAGGAGGAGACGGGGCTGTCTTCCGCGAACCTCTCCTGAAAGCTTTGGCCGCGTCGCTCGAAGTATCGGATCTTCCCCGTGCTCTCGCCGACGAGGAGGTCGACGTCGCCGTCCGAATCGAGGTCGTGGAACGCGGGCGAGCTCCAGTAATTGACCTGAACGTCGCGGAACGGGCTGTCCTGGTCCTTCAAGATTTCAAACACCTCGCCGCCAAGGTTGGCGTAAAAGTCCAGCGTGCCGTAGTAGTTTCCGACGACGAGGTCGAGGCAGGCCGTCCCCATTCACGTCGACGAGCGCGGGAGCGCTATGCTTGCTGACCGCGATGGACGCGAACGCATCTTCTTCTTGGAACTCGGTTACGTTCGCGTTGCGAAAGAAGAGGAGTCGTCCGTCCTCCTGCCCGACGACGAGATCCAGGTCGCCGTCGGAGTCGAGGTCGCCGAGCGCGGGGGACGCGTGTTCCCCGACGACGACGCCGGGGAGCGGCACGGGCGCGGCGAAGGCCGACGCGCCGGTGCTCCGAAAGAAGTAGATCACGTGACCGGTCTTTGTGCCGACGACCACGTCCGGGAGTCCGTCGCCGTTGAGGTCCCCCACGGCCGGTTTGGAGTATTCGCGGTCGTCGTTCGAGTCGAGGTCAAAGGTCACGCTGGAGAACGGAGACTGCGCTCCCGCGAGGTCCTGGAAGTTCGGGTCGAACCTGCTGTCGTAATTCTTCAGGAACGTGGCGCCGCCGCTCGAGCCCACGACGAGGTCGACGTAGCCGTCGCCATCGACGTCCGCGGCGACGGGGCGACTATGCGAGCTCACGGCGAAGCCTAGGAAGGGTGAGTCGAGCACGTTGACGAAGCGCGGCTCGACGGGCGTCCCCTGGCTCTCGTAGTAAAAGAGCGCGCCATCGCTTCCGCCGAGCACGAGGTCTGCGTCGCCGTCGCCGTCGAGATCAGCGAAGGATGGAACGCTGTCGTCGCCCTCGTTGATCGAAGCGAACCAGTCGCTGCTGTCTGGAGCGAAGAAGAAGCCGTCGCCGCGGGTGTAGCGTCGCAACGCGCCGTCGGTCCCGCCGCAGACGAGGTCCAGCCTGCCGTCGGCGTCCAGGTCCACCAAAGCTGGGTGATTTCCACCAACGTCGACGCCGGCGAACGGGTTCGCGCGTCCCGTCATGTTGACGAATGTGCCTCGCGCGTTCTCGAGGTAGTCGATCCGGCCCGCGGCGGTGCCCAAAACGAGATCCACGTCCGCGTCGCCGTCGACGTCTCCGAGCGCCGGGCGCGTCCTCGCCCCGACGCGCATCTCCTCCAAGGGCTTCCACACGAACTCGCCGCCGTCGTTCCGGAGGTAGAACATCGACCCGTCCGTCGCGACGACGGCGTCTACGTCGCCGTCGCCGTCGACGTCCTCGAACGCGAACGCCGCGTCGAGGGCCGTGTCCAGAGACCCGAGGCGACTTTCTCGGAAGCGGTGCGTGTTGCCCCAGCAGGCCTCCGTGCTTTGGAGGCGGCAGTAGGCGGGGCTCGTCGCGGGTACCGACGTCGGCGCGGGAGACGCGACGACCGTCGGCGCCGCGCTCGCCGTCGGCTGGAGCGAGGGCGCGAGACTCGTCGGGCCGAGGGTCGTCGTCGTCGGCGCCGGCGTGAGCGACCGCGCGGACGAGGGCGCGCGCGTGGGCGCCTCGGTGGCGCACGACTCCTGGACGTCTCCGCCGGAGAACAGCATGGACATTTCTGTCGGAGCACCACCGGTCACGGCGCCGAGCGTCCAGGACACCTCCTCCGGGAAGAGGCCGTCACCGTTCACCGATGCTGCGTAGCAGCCGTCGGCGAGGCAGAAGCGCTCCGTCCCGGTCGCTCCAGCGTCGAGCGTCGCGTGGAAGACGCGGTCCCCGCTTTCGGAGTAGAGCGAGAAGAAGGCGTCGGTCCAGCCGTCGAGGCCGGAATCGAACATTTCGAGGCTGTAGATCGAGGCGCCCGCCTCGCAGGCGAGCGCCGTCGGGGCCCGCGAGGGCGCGCTACTCGGCGCGGGCGCGGGCGCCGCGGTCGTGGGAGACG